CCAAGGGTTATGATATGTTATTCCTACTCTACACGAAGAGTAGGTAGATCGTACCGGATCGTAACCCTTGGCTTGCGAAGAAGCTATGCTGTGTTGACCTTTTTTATAACAATCATCTGTAAAATTCTCTTTTCCAATCTTCCAATAATTTTTGAAGTTTAAGTAACAATATAGGTGATTTGAAGTCCCTTTATATGCGTCTGTAGTTTTATTTAAAATTTTGAATTTTCTGAAATTATACAGGATGACAAATTTATGCTACAGACTGTACTTTGTTTAGCTAACAAAAACTTTAAACAAATGGGTCCATACATATAATGATTATATACCTAAAAGAAAGCTAACCAGACTGAACAAATGGGTCCATACATATAATGATTATATACCTAAAAGAAAGTTAACCAGACTTTGAAGAAACAGGTCCATACATTTAATGATTATACCTAAAAGAAAGCTAACCAGACTTTGAATATACCTAAAAGAAAGCTAACCAGACTTTGAACAAACAGGTCCATACATAATTATGATTAAATATATAAAAGAAAGCTAACCAATCTTTGAACAAATGGGTTCTTACATATAATGATGAAGAAGAACTGTAAAAGTCAAGATTATTCTCCTGGTTGTTTTTTTTAAATATATTTGATTTTCTACTTTCCCTAATTTTTCTCAGAATTGTAACAGGAAACAATCAATGTGTCATATAATGACCAAAAACAAACCCTTTAAGTTCAATCTTATTAGGAAAATGCTTCAAAGGACTTTCACAAGTTTGTAATGAAGATGTTGGACTTTACATTTGTATGTGCATGACTGTAATAAATATGTACTTGTGTATGACCCGAGACTGGCGAGAGTAACTTACTATTACACGTGGTCCTGAAAAAATCTCCACAATACAATTATGTTCATTTTATTCATGTATATACATGACCTAATTAGGTATCTTTCACAGGAAGGTCGGCAGATAACGGATATCACTCAATACAGTATGATACCTTATAAAGCAATTCTTAAGTAGTTGAAATTGCCTGGGAAAGCTGTTTGGCTCCATGCAGTGATCACGAGAAGCTTGTTTTTGTATCAAGAGAACATAAAAACTACAAGGTGGTCAACCAATTTTTCTTCAGGTGTTTTTAAATTACCATGTTCCTTCGTACATGCACATTGTTCACTTGAGGGGACTGCAATTTGGAAAACAAAAATTATTAAACCTTAATATTATTACCTTTGAAATATGTATTTATGTATTTAGATAAAAGACTGATTCATGTCCAGAGAGGTTGAATAGGGGGGACTCCATCCTAAGGGGTTTTCAAATTGGGTGAAATCTGATGCTTGCTGAACAGAAGGTTTTGCACAAATTTGAAAATCTTCATGGTGAAATCTTATGTGCATTCCAATCACCAGAATTAGCCCAGAAACCATAAAAAGGTGTTGATTCTTGAAGTTTGTATATATATATATACGTATCATGGTATGGAATGGTTCCAATTTCATGAATCCCTTTAAAGTCCCGTTGTGATATCACACATGTGTGATGTGTGATGGGGTGTAAGAAATTTCTTATGGCCCTTTCGTACCCAGAACAGTTCTGTCGTACTCGTATACAAAGTAAGGAATGAGATAGATATGGACTATTAAAAGGTCTCTAGTATCATATAGTGTAAACTGACTTTACTGACACTAGATTTTCAAGACATCTTAGAAGATCTGTTGTAAGGAAACACTTTGTTAAAATGACATTTACCCCCACATAAGTGACAAGAGTGAAGAGTATCACAATAATTCCATTCCTCTTGTGATGTTGGTCCATCAAGACAGATTTTCTTACACACCGTCTTATCTGACCCTCTTGACAAGTTTATGATTTATTATCTTCATTTTCTAAATCAAACCATATTTTACCTGTGATATACAAGCAGGCTTTGAAAATAAAGGATCTGAAATGATTGTCTATTTCATTGGAGATAGTGAAACAATTCTAGAAGTTTCATTGGCACAATCCTCTGTCAAATTAAACGTTTCGGATCAGTGAGGTTCATAAATCTAAGTCAGTACCTGGACATGTGCTGATGACAGTGTTTACTTATCTATTTTCTTTGTCTACAGAAACTTAGGGTTATTGACACATATAATGTACTACACATAAGTCATCTGGTACAAATCTTGATTCCTTAGATGATAATCCAAGAGTAAATACATCACTTGATACCTCTACATTATCTCCAGTACAGTGTAGACCTACACTATACACTGTACATAGCTTTCACTGTAGCAGTTAATTTTATTGTAAGCTTAACCTTTGGTTTTGTTTGTGTCTTACATCCTATTAACACATTCACCCCTGAAAACACAGTTAAACTCTAAACAGCTATGGTCATCTAAGGACGTGCCAGGTGATTGGTGGTTCAGGAAAGATTTGAGTTTCCAGAGAAGAAACACCGACTCATATTATGGCCAGTACCTGGCAACTGCCCCACGTAGGCCTTGAACCTGCGACCCAGTGGTGGAGGGCTAGTGGTAGCTTACTTAACCCCCATATATCAGTGCTTTCAGTTGACCTCTGCCATTTAGCAACTACAGAAGTCGAATTTATTTTATCGCTTCCCCTAAATTTTGGAGGGTCAAATTAATACACATGCCAAATAGACAAGACCTTTCAAACCAAAGAGTTGAGGCTTGTTTTGGAAAGTCAAAAAGATACTATCAAGTATATATATGTACTGTATCATGTGCCGATTCATCAATGCACTGATGTATTCAAATTTGATAACACGTTAAAATGTTTGTTCTCTAAAATAAGGTCTCTTACAGTATTGTGATCAGGATTCTTGAGTGTTGATGTATGTTTATGACTACCAAAAATGAGATTTGACTCTTGTTTATATACGAGAGAACACGACTATTTGACAGTAACTACGAACGTTTTTTTCAAGGAAAATGTTATATAACTACTGAAACTGACTGAAATCCTGTACCATACACGATATATAAAACAGAATATAATATAGCTCTTTCATTATATATATATGGGTTAAGTTTAGGATAGAGAATTCCCACCTGACTGATCTGAAAAGGGTTTATAGACATATTCCCTTTCCTATACAGTGAAACCTTGTATAAAATTATTTTTTCACCAAACAAGCTTAGCTAGACTCAGGTAATACAGTTTTAAAGAAGATGTTCAAGGATTATGCACTATCAATTACATCATTATAAACTCACAAGAACTTGGTGAACTCTAAACAACATTAAATGATTTATGCACCGAAAAATCTATCTATTAAGTCTTAGGTCAAAGAAGTAATACAGACGGTAAAATCCCATATAACACTGGATCCTAATGGAGGTATGTCCGTAAGATACGAATTACTTAAAATAGTATATGGGGCAAAAAAGTGATTCCAACAGTGTGGACAAGTTTAGGTTGTCAAATTTTCGGAGCGATCCGCTCCTTTATCAAGACACAGCTGTGAAACAGAACAGTTACATGTACATATACATCATATTACAAGAAGATAGAACTGATATACTTTAATTGAAAATATAGCTATTATATTAAAAAAACAATAGTCCCCTCGACTAAAGACAGCTGAAGGCAGCAATTAAGCTGAGAACATCGAGGACAAGGAACGCTGATGTAGAGGACCTATTCTTGCGCAAGATGCACTATCATATAAAGTGAGTCAACGAGAGATAAGCACCAGAAAGAAGGGACGAGATATCAAAAACGTGGAACATGTGCATGTTGGAATCTGACCCGGTTATATATATATACCTTACACTACATCTGGACGGAGTAGAATTATGTGAGATGTAAGAAGGATTTATCATAATACTTGAGATGGAAGTAGGATTATGTGAGATGGAAGTAGGATGTGAGATGACAGGAGGATTATGTGAGATGGAAGTAGGATGTGAGATGGAAGGAGGATTATGTGAGAGGGAAGTAGGATTATGCGAGATGTAAAGAGGATTATGCGAGATGTAAAGAGGATTATGTGAGACGAAAGTAGGATTATGTGACATGTAAAGATTATGTGAGATGGAAGGAGGATTATGTGAGACGGAGGTAGGACTATATGGGAAGGAGGGAGGATTATGTGAAATGAAAGGAGGATTATGTGAAATGGAAGTAGGATTATGTGAGATGAAAGGAGGATTATGTGAGACAGAAGGAGGATTATGTGAGATGGAAGGAGGATTATGTGAGACGGAAGGAGGATTATGTGAGACGGGGGTAGGATTAGAATTTTGTTTTTGTGAACAAAAACATATGTCTCCCCTTATTTATTAGTCAATAGACAAACTTCAGCATAAAAAATTAACAAAGGGCCATATATCTTTATATAGTGGGGCATGAGACCCGAATTTAGAATGTGACACTCCTACTTCCCAAGATACATTAAAACTATACCAAGTTTGGTCAACGTAGGTGATATAACATGGAAGTTATGCTGTGGACAAACTTTGATATTAAGAATAAACAAAGGGCCATAACTCTGTATATAGTGGGGCACAAAACCTGATTTTAGTGTGAAAGATTCCACCTTCCCAAGATACATAAATATGGTAGGTAAAATAACATGGAACTTAGGCTCCGGACAAACTTCAGTATTAAAACTCAACAAAGGGCTATAACTCTGTATAAAGTGGGGCACGAGACCTAGTTCCAGTACACTGCACACTTTCTGTGGGTAATACAGGTATACTTCAAGTTTGATTAAGATATCTTTAATGGTTTAGAAGTTATGCCGTGGACAAAATCTGTATAAAAAATAAACAAAGGGCCATACCTCTGTATATATAGTGAAGCAAAAGACCAAATTTCAGTGTAGAGACAAAAGGAGAATTGTGTAAGATGCAAGGAGGATTAAGTGAGATGGAAGTAGGATTATGTGAGATGGAAGGAGGATTGTGAGATGGAAGGAAGATTATGTGAAATGGATAGAGGAATAAGTGAGATGGAAGAAGGATTATCTGAGGTGGAGCCTTACTTTTCTAGTCTGTTTCCAAGCTCTTCTGATGAGTCACACTTTACAACATTAAACAAATCGTCTACTTCCAATCTCCTCTTATATCCTGTTGAGAAAGTTGGGTTAAGCCACCTGAAATAATAAAGCATTGATGTTATTGATTATGATTTCCTGAAGAGTTTAAACATAATTCGAAATCTTTAAACATACTTGATCAACATTTGGTAATTACACATCTACATTTAAACACTTTTTGTTTAATAATTATAAGCATGTTGGTAACCATAACATATTCTGGGGTATTAGGTCCAAAAGGTTGGTTACTATTGGCTGTGAATTTTGAGATGGGTGTCACAGGTATGCATGTCACTTGCTCTGTGATGTTGCTCCAACGTTATTTCTGATGTGACGCCTCTTGTATGTCATCTTTATATAGAACTAAATTATAAATGACCCCAGGTTTGGGTATCAACTCGCCAAACAATCACCCAGTGCTTGAAACAAGAGTAAATGGCAAGCTTTATGAAAGTATCGTACTTTCTTAAATACATTTGAAACAGTGATTTCCTTATACAAATAATTTGTATAATATACATTACAACAGCATTCGAACAAGAAAGAGTCAGATATTTTCAACTATAAAACATGCCTAAAATTTAAGTTGTTTTGATATCCCAATTTATCATCAACTACCCTCCAAATATTATTGAGTGTAATAAGATGAATTTCATCACTAGCCAAATGTCTGGTATCTAAATGTAGAGGTTAAATTTGCCTAGAAGTATTTTTTAAAAACTGTCTGAAAATTGTCACTACAGTAGCATCCAGTGACAGCTAAAAAGAAAATTGAGAAAGAAAAAAAGGAATCTATGACCAAGTGAGTTCTGCATGCGAATGTTACAATGGGTCATAAACAATGAATGATAATTACAAATGTATATTAAATTCAACTGACAAAAATGCAGCAAGTCAGATAAAATATACCGACCTGTCAACAGGTCCAGTACACTCTGCCGATTGAGCTATATAGCTGTAAAGACCTATAATAGCTCTATTGACCTATCTGATTAGGTCTTTTGAGCTATTTTCAAGTGATTTTCTTTTTTACGGAAAACGAAACAAAGTCGCTTTTAAAAGAAGATTGTATCATTAGGTTGATAACAAAAGACATTAAATTTAAGGATTCTTTTTATAAAATAATGATGTAAAAAAATCGGAAATTTTACATTTATGAACAATGAAAATAAACATCTAACCACGGACTTAGATAACATCTAATCTAATTCCGTGATCTAACTATGCTTTTTGTAGTCAACATTACCATAAACCTTATTGTTTTATGCGACTTTGCTTTAATTAAATGAAAATTGAAATCCGAGAAAATATAGCTCAATACAGCTATAATGTATAGGTGTATATAGCTATATTAGTATATATAGGTCTTTATATCTATATAGCTCAATCGGCAGAGTGTACTGGACCTGGTCAACTGGGTGATAAATTCATCATTAGCTAATTAGTCCGTCGAAAGTTACGCATAACAATGGTTCTAATAATGAATTCTAAGTAAAAACTGAAGTCGCCTGAGCAGTGACAAAGTGATTGTGACAAAGTACTTACTTATTTCTGTTTTGACAAAAACGTTTGCCCTCTACAGTATACACTGTTGCACGTGTTAGTTATGCAAAAAAATGATGAAAGAAATAAGGAAATTTCAACTTACCAAAAGAAAACCTTAGATATTGGATTTGCCGTGAGCAAAGGGTTAGGATTATGGTGTCGAATAGTTTCATCCATGTTTGGTGTTACATACAAAATCCTAGAATAAACATTGCTGTCCTCTACATCACCCGCCGCTCGCGATCGCTGACTGAAAAATCGCTTTGGTAACACTGTAGTAATAAGATAAGGAAAGCGGATGTGAAAATCCGGAATTCCAAAGTGCGTTCAGTTAAAAAAACGTTTCACAACGTTGTGCAACATCAATAGATAAAAGTGCGGAACGTGCTTACAGTAATGTAAGTCAGTATCTTAACATCGTAAAGTGTCAATCAAATTTATTCAGGCAAATTTAAAAACCACACCATAGCATGAAACCTCTACAGTATACACTGTTGCACGTGTTAGTTATGCAAAAAAATGATGAAAGAAATAAGGAAATTTCAACTTACCAAAAGAAAACCTTAGATATTGGGTTTGCCGTGAGCAAAGGGTTAGGATTATGGTGTCGAATAGTTTCATCCATGTTTGGTGTTACATACAAAATCCTAGAATAAACATTGCTGTCCTCTCTACATCACCCGCCACTCGCGATCGCTGAATGAAAAATCGCATTGGTAACACTGTAGTAGTAAGATAAGGAAAGCGGATGTGAAAATCCGGAATTCCAAAGTGCGTTCAGTTAAAAAAACGTTTCACAACGTTGTGCAACATCAATAGATAAAAGTGCGGAACGTGCTTACAGTAATGTAAGTCAGTATCTTAACATCGTAAAGTGTCAATCAAATTTATTCAGGCAAATTTAAAAACCACACCATAGCATGAAACGTTTCATAGCATGAAACGTTTCAAAACGTTTTCCTTCATGAGCACACCCCTATTTATAGCAGAATGTTCTATCTAATTTTGTTTCTGGGTTTTCCAGAAAATTGGAAACAACTTTTTTGATGTACGCTTACTTCTGTAACAAGTTTTATTAAATAAATAAATGTTATAATCTCTATGATTTGACTACAAAATCCTTAAAAGTAAAGTACCTTTTTTATTACTAAATCACACGAAACCGAATTAATATGTAGCATTCCTGCATCATGATTTAAGTATGCACCGATCTCCGGGATATTTCAGTTATTTAGTTTAATCCTAATACGTATGTCCTTTACTGCATTGAAGCCAAACAGAAGCGCGCTGTCAGGCAGAACGTTGTGTGTAACGTTTGTGGTTTGCGGTTAAAACATTTTTGGTTTATGGTTGAAAACAATTTTTGTGTATATTTCTTTTTAAATCTAAGATAAAAGAGCTGCATTGTTTACAGCTTGTGAGTACGACGTCTGGGTTTGAATGTTGTGAGATCAGGAACGAGTGCTATACATGTTTTCTTTCTGGTTTATTTTTGTTGGTTTTTTTTGGGGGGGGGGGTATAGAGGCGGCGGATAGCTTGTGTGAAGAAGGAATGTGGTGGTTAAATGGGGGAAATCATGTTTTATTCAGCAAATTGTTATTACAATATACATAGTCCATGCATGCACTGTGTTGACGTACTCTGTAACGCTATCTTCGTAATCATTCTTTTTTTATGTGGAGTTTTTATCAACTTTTGTCTGTAAGCCTTTTGACACTGACTCCAGATATAGTCCGAAATAACTGACTTAATAGTTTATCTCTGCCACATCAAAAAAGTAAAGGAGATATAGTTATTTCGGACTATTCAAGTTGTGCAGCGGGCATGCACACTATATGTTTGTTGTTTCCAAGTTGTTTTGTTTTCCCGTATTAGCGTACAAATCTCAGAGAGATTTTCTGCTTGGTGCCTAACTATATACTTAGTGGTCTTGGGTGTTTTAGCCTTTGTTTGTGTGATTTCGTAGTGCGCCACAGTTAGAATTTCTGAACTTATTAAACCATCAACCGCAAGAAATGTTTTTTTTGATATCTGAGAGTCAGATTCTGATGTGATGGTCAATTAATTAAATGATTGTGACGCAACAGAAGTGACAACCCAGACATTTTACTCGGGTGTATTACATACGTCATTCAATGAACATTAAAAATAAGTACGGGTCCAGCACAGAACCTTGAGGTATAACAGATAACACTAAAACATAAATAAGTGACAAAGTATCTGATTAACCCAGCTTAAATCGTAAGTCAAGATTGTCCGTCAATACATGCACCGCGCTTATAATTTGTGGGGGGAAAAAACATGCCAAAAAAATAACGACAAATTATCGGTATGCCCTCGGTCAGAAAAGTGGCGAGTGAAAGTTCTTACAGTTTTTTATAGTGAGAATGGTGGCAGGCCAAATAACGTAAAAAGTTTCGGGAAGGACTGGAGGAGCCGTCGGAAACATGATAGACAGAATAATAATTGTAAAAAAATGTACATGGAGGACATAGAAGGGGACCAAATCGATATCCTTCTCCCATTGCAACACTTGGAATCTTTTTCTTTTTCCTGTCTACTTTCTTTACTATCTGTAACAGGAGCGGGACAATGCACGGCCAGACCGGGGTTCGAACCTGGGACCTTCCTAACTTTAGACGGATGCTCTACCAGATGAGCTATCTGGTCGCCGACGATTGAGCCAATCCAGTTCGCTACACTATCGCTTTCTTTCCTATCTACGTTCTTTTCCTATATATCTATCTACTTTCTCTTTCCGGCGGTGACTCCTCAGGCACCTTCGCTATGTGACACTGGCTGTTGCGATGACGCTAAACCCGAACAAACAAATGTTTTTTCATGTTGAAAGTAAATATTTAACATACGCAACTTCGCTATAAATGTATAGCAATGCTAACTAACAGTTCGACTCAAAGGGACCTAATAATTTGTTACAGCTATATTTCATTTTACCGAAAGTCGATCTAAACCCCTAAAACATGTAAAAAAACAACACCAACTCTGAACACCTTAGTTTAGGTCCAAATATATCTGTAACAAATTCTCAGGTTACTGTGTACATGGGCGGATTGGTCGAGTGGTTAACACTCCGGTCTTCCACGCAGGCGGCCGGGGTTCGATCCCCAAAGTCGTCGTACGCATGGAATATTCAGAGAAAGTGTTTTTTCTCCTGCCCACACAACTCCAACAACCCAGGTGGAGTATTATTTGGTCTGGGGTGGATGTTGCGTTATCTGTGCTGTAGCATTTAAGTGCGGTGGCACTATAATTGATATCGTTGGAAACACGGTCCCGCTACAAACAGAACACAATACATCTCCAGCACACACGCAGGCACACATTCCAAACATAGGAAGGTATTAGTCAGGTGGCCTATAACTAGTAGTTAGCGCCTGATAAGGCAGCTCCTGCGAATTCCTCAAAATTGTATTGATTAATGTATCTATGTACTGTAAAGCACTTTGGAGTGACCAGATAGCTAGATAGGGCGCTTTATAAAATGTTGTATATCATTATTATTATTACATCAATGTGAGAATTCTTATCACAACTTCCTGGAGTGTCACCATTATCTTTAAAATTGTACATGAGGTCCAATAGAATGTTCTACTTATGATTAATTCTGCTGCCTATGTCATTAATTGATGTGATTTTATAATCGAGGATGACTCGCCCATTACATTTAGTTGAACATAACCATTTACACAAAAATTTGGACAATAAACATATGTTTAATATTTTCAAATAACTTTTTCTAAATACAAAATGTCCCAAGATCTGCAGCTTATAGTAAGTAAAGAAATTGTGGGACCGCGAATCGGAATGACCTTGCTAAATGGTAGCGATATTATGTAAAAGAAGTGATACTCCCCCAGGGATCATTTTTAATGTGGAATGTAATAAAAAAATCCAACAAAGAGTATTGTTATTAAGTTTTTCAGAGGCGTATACTATATACGTCTCTAAGTTTTTAGATAAAAATTGACCTTAATTTGAATTTCACAGTAAATGCGAAAAAATATTCTTGAGCGATACTAGACCTTTTGGGGCTTTTATGTAAAGCTGGAGTAATAATACAGGACAGGATTTTATGTCAAAGGGGTGCACGCCACCTTTTGAATTAGTTTTGTTAGCAAAATATATTCATGAAGATTTTCAACGAAAAGCAGCTTCCCTATATATCCGCATGGTTCCTTTTCCGTAAACCGTCTTATAGTTATAAACCGATCATACTGGATCTTTTAAACGCTTAACGGGACGAGTTCTTAAAGCTTAGCGTTAATTTGACATAGGCACCGGTTAGCCAACAAAACACATGATGGACCAAATGATGAATGATGTTGTCGACTCGTACGATTTAAAGGTAAAACTGGACGACCGATATCATAACTACGTGAGCATTTGTCAGTTTGAGATTACCTTTACAGTTGATGTCCTTCCGTGGTCTAGTATTAAATCAAAACATAGGTTCGGGAGCTACTTTGTCTTCCGGATGACCTTAGTTTTATTCGTCATCCATATATGCGCATTGCTGCAAATGCCAAAAGCGTATATGTCAAGTCATTTATCGCCGATTGTGATGTGCCAACAGGGGTTATAATAAATACTCCTGACTAGAGTTACTGTACTTGTCATTATTTTGCTCTGTGAAATTTTTGTTAGAAAAAATGGTAACAGATCGATGAAAACATAGCCTACAAAAGTTACATTTGATAATATTATATTACTCTGATATCTAACACGACAGCCTTACATATATTTCATAGGTGAAGTCATAATTTGAACATCAATACATTTATTTTGATTAATCCAACATTGAAAGACATCTATTACAGGAAAGAAAGTAGTGTATGCTTCCACCGGGGGTTGAACCTGCGATCCCCATATATATATATGTTTCTAGATGGACGCTCTATCGCTGAGCTAAACTTAAGGGAAATTCCCTCTATCATGAAGCTAGAAGGTGACTGTTATCCTATGTACAGTTAAAATCTGCTACACTATATATTCCACCCTTTTTAAATGTGTTTGCCCTCGAACACCATAATCCTGGTCACGGCACCATTTGTAACAGGAAAGAAAGTAGTGTGCTTCCACTGGATAGAACCTGCAACACCTAGGTTCCGAATCGGACGCTCTACTGTTAAGCTAAAGGGAAATTTCCTGAAGCTAGAAGGTTGCATGATCCTGATCCTGTATAGCTAATTATAACTATGTACAATTAAATCTGCTACACATCAAATATGATCACCCTAGCCTGAGTTTCCTCTGGCTCTGACACCAGACTAGCTTTAAGACATTTTGACAGATAGATGTCTGGTGTGGGCATCTCTATCAAAATGTCTAAAAGTCTGGTGTCAGGGCCAGAGGAAACTAGGGCTATATATATGATCACCCCATTACAGGAGCTTGTTACCCTGTATCAGCCGTCACGTTCACTGCAGTCGGAGTCAGAATCTTTGTTGTGTGTCCCAAAATCTCGTACTGTGACCTACGGAAACAGATGCTTTGAGAGGGTTTCGGCTATGTTGTGGAATAGCTTACCATCTGCAATTAGAAAGTCCAATACCCTGGCCAAGTTCAAGAGGGACATCAAAACTCACCTCTTCACGTATTCATTTTAGAATCCTTACAAAGACGTTTGTCACGTTATGTAAATACCACCCTTTTATTTGTTCAATTATGTGCACATTGCTTGCTTTAATGTATAAAAGTGATTGTAAGCCTTTGTTGTTTGTTTTCACAATTATAACCATTACTATTATCCATATGTTGTAAAGCGCTTTAGAGTAATTTTACAAATTATATAGGGCGCTATTTAAATGTTGTATATTATTATTATTATTATTATTATTGAAAGGTTTTGATATTGTTTTAATTTTCTTTTCTTTTATTTACAATATTAAGTACAATATGCATGAAAATTGAAAAGCAAATTTCTATTAATCAGACCTTTTGATATACATGTACATATTTACATATAAATCTGTTGCCCCCATTAAAATTGCAAAGCTATGGATCTTTTTCGTTTCCTACAGTATCTTTTCTGTGTTAACGTTAACTCTCTCTTTTTTGAAGGTTTCTCTCAAGACACCCTTTCCCTTTGGCTGTTATTAGGACGTAAAACCCCTATAAAATAATTTATATATAACTGTTTTTTTAATACATATATAGAGTATACTGTACCTGATCACAGGGCATAGGGCACTTACCATGTACATGACATGATCAGTGCGAGAGAAAAAATGTCTCCTCTAGATCTGCTAAAGAAACAGTAGATCTAGAGGTGACCATTTTTTCCCAAATAAAGCCATAGATCTATACCTCTGTACACATGTTGAATATTAATGTCTCTAAAGCTGGATTTCATTATCAAGTCTCAGAGTAGAACTCAGACAGTTTAGAAATATTACCCATTACAAGCACAATCGAATTAAAATTATATCTTCACATCGCTCCTGTTTACTGATAGTCGCTTACACGCAACATATCAGTAAACGGGAGAGATGTGAAGATATAATTTTAATTACATTGTTACAATCAGTTCTTGACGCTGAACTCTAGCTCTGTTATGGTTTCAGAAGTTTGAGATGATGTACAATGATCAGTCGAGGAGAGGCCAGGTGAGTGAGAAAGCCCAGTTTGAGTATGCCTGGTGTCTGGTCCGCAGTAAATACCTCGACGACATGAAGAAAGGAGTAGCACTTATGGAAGGTAAGTGTCAAACCTTTCCAAAAACATCATCAGATGGGGTGAACATTTCACTTAATAATAAATATTTTCTGTATAACTGTGTCTTGAGTTTCAATTGATATTACAGTAGTTATTTTTATATGCCCGTCAAATTTGATAGGAGTATTATGGTATGGCTCCATCCCTCTGTCTGGCATAAACTTTTGTTTGTCCCGCAATTCAATCTCCTCCTACAGTTTTCGACCTATCTCTTAGAAACTTAGTAGGCTAAATAATCATGATATGTTGTTGTTTCCTTGAAAAAAAAATTGATTCAACAATTAAAGTTATTGCCCTTTGTTTCTTTCAGTATTTGATTTTTGTCTGGCAATCTCCTCCTACATTTTTCGACCTATCTCTTAGAAACTTAGTAGGCTAAATAATCATGATATGTTGTTGTTTCCTTGAAAAAAGAATTGATTCAACAATCAAAGTCAGAGGCCTCATATGTTTAAATCTTTTAATAGGTTCTTATGAAATCTTAAGCTTACAAGTGTTAGATTAATAACAGCTGAGCGATGCAGGCCCATTGGGCCTCTTGTTTATAGCATGTCAGCAAACCACTCTTAGAATGATGCAGATATTAATTCAATGAAAGAAAGTATATAACACTATATGCCATTCGACGGGCATATATTGTTCCGCCCCGCGGTACTCTTGTTATGAATTTTCATTACCCATTCATGATTGATCATTTACTATTATTGTAAACACACCATTTTAAGGATTCCATATTAGCTATATGCTCTGTAGTTCAATATCCATCATATAAAACACTGATAATGATCTGGCATACCTATAGGTCCATGTTATCAGTCAGATCATCCTTGAAATTCCAGGGGGTTATAAATTTTCTCTCTTAAGTTTTCTGCACCACTAGAATATGTCATGACAAAATTGAAGGCTTTGTTTAATTTGTGCCACCTAGTGAATGGGACAAGCAGACTAGTTTGATCCTTTGATGTACATCAAAAAATTCTTAAAGTGCGCATGCAGCAGCATAAAGGTAAAATTGACTGTTTCAAATTTTAATTGAGGTCTCTGACTATGACTTAACATGGGGTTGAAATAAAGGAAAAGTATAGCATCATTAAGGGGGCTTGTTGAACCTTAAACAGAAATGGCAAACATGCTTTCACTTTTGGTGATGGTGTGGCAATAGATTTGTATTGCCGATACCAGGTACGAAACAAAATTATGCACTTAATATATTAAGTAGGAAAATATTTCTATTTCAGTCAAGTTATGAGATGATAACTGGTGTTTGAGTATCAGTAAATTCACCATCTATAATGAATTTACTTATGCTCAACTCGCCTCATTTACGTAACCTGACCGAAATAGAAAACTATTCCCTATATTTACAGCTCAAGTTTGCGAGGAAAAAAGTGTCATTGAATGAATGTCGGCGTAGAATGTTAATGTGATATTTTTTCCTCACTCATGATAGGTACTTATGGTTTGACGACAGCCCTTTGTTTAGTTTACACATGATCTGTGGTTCTTTTTACCGTAATCTTTACCATCCAAGTAACCTTTTTACAGGGGTAATGGTTAAGTGTCAGTATTAGTGATGTGTTGATGATCGATTATGATAAAAAAAGGCAATCAGTTTGCCGTTTCCAATTCCTATTGTTGATTACAAATTCCATAATCAATATAATTAGGTCATAATTGAAATCAAAGTTTAAAATGTATACAATGTATGTATATTAAAACTAATTTCAGGGTTTTTGCCAAGTGTCAGGGTCCGGTACGGGGATCATTCCCAATTGAAAAATGATCCTGTATGTTCCCTATTTCAGTCTTTATTTTCCCAATTAGATAAAAAAAAAAAGCATGTTTATACAAGTTTCCAGTCGTTATATGTGCAACGTTTAAAGTATTACCATCTATGAAAGAGCATTTAAAATACATAAGTAACGAAAAATTTGAAATTGAATTAACAAAAACACTAAAAACAGCTAGAGGAAATGTTTTGCAAATCACATTGTAGGTTTTATTTCTCAAAACTTTGGATATTTTACGGAACCTGTGCATGTGGGAACACTGATGATATTTCCCAATATTTGCCAAATGCCGATGTTATTTTCCCAATTCCTGCTCAGGGGGCCTTTCCCAAAATAGCTGGGAAAAACCCTGAATTTGTTTTATGACTTTTACTATATAACTGACAAAACTGTGTAGAAGTTGCTTGAAATCCACCGTTATAGAAGATCGAAGCCTAATGTATTGTTAGCAACTCTGTCTATTGAATAGTATTGTTCTAACTTTATTTGGGTATTCAATCCCCAAAAATTATAAACTGAATATGCAGTTTATCTTCAACCAGTTTACTGTTTCCAGTTACCCTGTTCGATTATGATTTTGAACCGATTGCCAATCACTAGTCAGTATTTCATTAGGATGTTCTTCTGTATTCCTCTAAAAAAAAATCAAAATATTTTGATATTTCAGATTTATTTAAAAATGCCACGGATGATACAGCTAGGAGAGACTATCTGTTTTACATGTCGATCGGATACACACGTATTAAGGTAAGGTTCTCCAGGAGTCGATGCATGAAATGATGTATGGGGGTCGTTTCCATCTGTTAGTGATCCTGATAGGCCAATCATTGAAAATTAGTCAAAAAATAAATTGAATTTGTCAAAGTCAAAACTGAAAAGAGGATTAATTGGTAAAGTTCAGAAATAACACTGCATGGCATATTTGTCACTCAAAAATACTTGGAACTGGTATAATTCTTAAAATAAACTGGTTTCTTTTAGAGGTCATTTATTATTCACACATGTGTTTTGAAAGAGTTGTATTACCCCAAGTGTAAGGAATTTGTATAAGAATTATTGCGAAAGTCGGTGGAAAAGTTTGTATACAATCTCAACATTTTGGAAAACAACCGAAGTGGAATTGACTGGAGAGAAAAGTCATGAACAACTTAGATTTTACATTTCTATTGTTCTATGTTAAGCTTTGGCACTTAGATTTTGATTTTCTATTATATTATGGTTCCTGTACTGTTGTGTTAGGAGTACCCACAAGCCTTGACTTACGTGAAGGCTTTACTGCGGATAGAACCAGGTAACCACCAGGCACTACAGCTACAGGAATATATCAACAAGAAAATGAAGAAAGGTAAGGATTGTGGACATTAAATCTGTGTCTAGATCTGCTGTTAATTATCTGAAATATAAATATCTCAAGTTATTTCAAGGGATTAACTTCAAGCTTCATGGGAAGGTTGATTACCATGAAAGCTCAGAGGAGTTTCATAACGAGTGTTATCCAAAAGTAATTTACAGAGTTATGCCCCTTTATTGAATTTGTGTCCACCCCCCCCTTTTTTTTTTTACAAAAAGCATTTGTTGTTTCTCATGAAATCAGGAAGAACATAAATGGTTGAGATTTCTATGTTATCTAAAATTAAATTATATTAAATTTCATTCAGAAATGAAAAGGCTATTTTCAAAATCTTGATGATAATTATATATATAAAATTTGAAGATGAGGGTTCCTTTCACTTTGTTATGAAATAATGTTTACATATTAAGAGTGATTTGTTTATTTTCAGAGGGACTGATGGGTATAGCGATTGTAGGTGGAGCTGCTTTGGCTTTAGGTAGTCTGGTCGGCTTAGGAGTGGCTCTCGCGAAAAAGTGAAGATATTTGACCATATAAGGACCTAATTTATTACCTTTCGTTGATATAACCATATATGGACATGATGGAGGACAGTGCTACCAAATATGGATGTAATCAGCTGATAAGGACATGCTCACTGTAAACTTGTGTGGATAATGTTAATTATATGGATAACAAAACCATAGATAGACATGATGGGAGAAATTAATGTTACCATAACAGTGTGAGGACATTGTTAATTTCATTGTGCATGGATGATAACATTTATAGACATGAAGGAAATTGATATGACCTTGTATAGATCTATATAATGTCCATATAAGGAAACTGGTTATTTGTAACAGTGTAAGGACATTGTTAATTTAATTGTTTTTTGATGATAACCGTATATGGACAATGGCTATTATCTAATATTGATAACCTACATGACATTCTTTTACATTAACTAAATAAAACTGGTTATTTGTAACAGTGTAAGGACATAAGTACATCATGGTGTTGGCAATTAACCAAATAAGGACATCATGATGTTGGCAATAACTACACAAGTATATTAACTATTAATAGATACAATCAGTTTCAGTCAGTGAAAGTGTACACAATAACCATTAAGGATGCCAGAAATTGATAGAATACTCACAGAGTTATGGCCCTTTGTTTGGGCTGCTAATTTCTACCCTGGAATATCCTTGACAGATACTAACAAGTTGACTAGTGTTTTGATATATGTAAGACATGTATTTATATAAGAAGGGTTGCCATAGAGAACCAACAATGCTGTGTTATCGTGAAGCTAAGAGTGTACTCTGTATGTGTATATACCTGCACTATATATCTGTACCTATGTAAGTCCCTGTAAGTGCCAAATGAGACCAATACACAATAGGTTTGCACTTTGTCTGTTCATCAGCCTGCCTAAATATGCCCAGAGTTATGGCCCTTTGATCTCTGTGTATTATTTTGTCTGGGGCATATCTCATTTTTCTCAGTCAACTACAATTGCCCGGTTTTGTATACAAGGAAATCTTGGAATTAAGGAGTGTTGCATGTTAAAAAAAATATTTGCTTTTTATTTTTTATCCATACCTATTTACTTTGTCAAGATTTGGAGGACTCTGGATTGGTAGTAATAATTATGTAACATGTAGTTTGACAAACCACACATACAACTGGTTCTCATATCACAGACAGAAAACTAACAAAATAGGTAAAATAAAATGACCTTTTGATTCAAAATCTATTCCCATATTAGGCATTGTGATCACAATATGGTAAAGGTCTTATATGTTTTGCGATTCAATATTGGTTATGGAATGTGTTACCAACATGTATGTAAACCTCAGATTTATTAATTTATGGATAATATGTACGCCAAGCTTCTCTGAACAACTTGAGACAAAGTGGTTTACATGTGCCAAACTTTGGTATATTTTCGTTTACTTATATCATAAAAAATTTAAGTGTTAGAGTTACATCAATGTGTCTGATTTTTCTTAATTTTTTGGGGGGGATGATAAGATTTCATTTCACAAGGAATTGTTTTTTTTTAGTTTTCATCATTTGATTTCAATTAAATCCCTTTTTTTTTTTAAATTGTTGATAATAAGGTTTAAAAGTTTCATTGCATATAGAATTGGAGATTTTTGTTTGTTTTCAAAATGGAATTTTGTTAAAATTCAATTAACTCTTTATTATTTTTGTAGACATATTAACAGGCTTCCTTCTGTTTTGTTCTTGGATTGTCTAATTAGTGTTCCCCAATTATTATTTTTTTCTGTTTGTTTGGGATGACAGTTTTGCTCTGTAGTTATAATAACAAAAATAAGATTTCCATGGTCATAGTCGTTAAAATTTTACTTCAAGAACAAAAGTTTACACATTCAGGGTGGCAGCAAAACTCAGTCGTAGCAGGGGGTCACAAAAGTTGCTACAAAAATCAGATGTACCTGCTGGCTGAAAATGTCACATGGAGCAGAGGGTAGTAAAAGTTACACATGGGTCATCCATAAAACTCACAGATGGTCGCAAATGTCAAACATTCCAGCCACATGCAAAAAAAACCTGTTTGTCTTTTTTTCAAAATGATTTTAATGTAAAACCGATAGTACCCATAAATGCATAAGATTATACTGTACAACAGCAAAACAGGTTATTGATAACCTCTTCTATCTCCTTCTGAGTTACAATCAACTGCTAATGTGTTTGGTATAATCACACATGATAATGTGTAATGTTCCCTTCCTGCTCAAGCTCCTTGATGTCCTGTGTTCTTCTTGGGATTTTTGAGAAAGACTGAAGAGTTCATTACGCTTTATCAATAGAAAATAGCATATTTAATAAAAAATAAAGGAGCCTGTATGGAATGTACAGACCGTATGTTATTTTGAGGGATTTTTAATACAGTAGCATCATTCCAAACTCTCAGTGCTTGGTAACAGTTTCATATGTGTTTTCTATGACTACGTCATTCATGGGAAAATGAATATTATCCCTCAAGTTGGAAACACAATAGAAAGGTCCTCTGAAGTTAAAAGAGCTAATGTGTAAGTAAAAATGTCATGTTGTTGATGGAGGAGTAAATCATAGCATGGTACTTTTATTAATCAATAAATGAGCAATGTGTGGTTAAGGATGCATGCTACCTTAACTAAATATGACAGAATCTCCTTTCCAAAAGATTTCCGCACTGAAATAGACTGTAAAATATCTACAAATGAGATATAAATGACAAATTTGAAACAAACCAAGGAATATCTGTATATTATTTGTAAACATGAATATGATTATGGTTCCCTTTCAGCTTTGCCCTAGAGGGAACATCCATTTAGCATGAAGCTAGAAAGTGATCGACCCTGACAGATTCTGCTACATGTCAGCAACAAAATGTTTAAGATATATTCTCAAGGGATATAATCCTTGCATAAATTACAAACATTTGTAAGGTAGCATATAACCTTAAATCTATTTAGAAAGAAGTGTCATGTGATGCTCATTTCTAATGTTTGTCTGAACTCTCTGACTTAGCGACTAGAGAAATGACATCCACTGTTTTGGAGTACTCATTACTGGAGTAATGTGTGTCAGTCCCTTTGACTTAGCGACTAGAGAAATGACATCCACTGTTTTGGAGTACTCATTACTGGAGTAATGTGTGTCAGCCTCTATGACTTATAGGGACTGTAAAGACAGGACACTAAATGTGTGGAGGGACTGTAGAGACAGGACACTAAATGTGTGGAGGGACTGTAGAGACAGGACACTAAATGTGTGGAGGGACTGTAGAGACAGGACACTAAATGTGTGGACGACCACAAATATGTTATGTAAATTTTGATTCATCATTATCTACTTTAGTATTTGTTGCTGTGAAGACTTTGAAATGAGATGCCTGTAAAAGAATGGGTTTATATACTTTGTCTTTCTGTTACTTTTTTGTTATCAATAAAATGTGTAGACACATGATTAATTACTGTGTTATGTACTTTTTATAAAGAATTACACTTATTTTCCAGATTGGGGTCTACTAGCTCCAATCAGTTTTCATTTATACAAAACTGAAATCCCTTGGCCAAGGGATGTTAAATGAAAACTTATTTCATCATCTTGCATACATGTATGTTAGGAGTTGAAAACTCAGCCCCATCTCCCCTATAGGGCTAAGCATCAGCTAAAAACAGACCAAGATTGTAACCACTAATGCAACGTCTCGGCCCATAACTTTCGATGGTGATCTTTGTGAAGAAGTAGAGGACTTTACTACATACCTTCGGAGTGTTTTAAGTAAAGATAATGGGGCAGCCAAAGACATCAAGACCAGGCTTTCAAAAGCATGTGCAGCATTTGCCAAACTTCAGCCCATCTGGAAGTCATATCAGTACATTTTGAGGACAAAGATATAACTGTATAATAAGCATGTAAAGTCGGTTCTGTGAACTTTTGAAACGCTTTGAGATGACCTACGAACTAAGTTGTGATAAAGCTGTATATAAGAACCTCAAATTATTATAATTCTATTATTATTATCATAGTTCTCCTGTATTGGTCAGAGTGCTGGTGTTTAATTGAAAGTGACATAAAAAAAAGGGTTGTAGTCTTCCGCAACAGCTGATCTATAAGATTTATTGAATTTTCTGACCAAATAGAAAAAGTATAAAAGCAAAGGCATATATTGCTGTTGCGAGATTAAACAATGACGTATGATGTGGCTTGGGCATGTTCTGAGAATGACACCAAACAGAACTCCCAGAGTTGCTTTACAATGGACACTGGCAAGAGAAAAAGAGGCAGACGGAGGATAATAACGTCAGAATTCAAAGAAATGGGATATTCTATAGGCCAAGCTCGATTCATTGCTAAAGACAGGGGTAGATGGCTGCAAATCGTTGATGACTTATGTCCCACCACGGACGAAAGTAAGTAAGGTACCCATAAAATATATTGATAAAACCTTTATATCGAGGTACTCTTGATAAAATCTTTACATGGAGGTACCCTTATAAGGAAGTACCCATAAATTATATTGATAAATCTTTACATGGAGGTACCCTTATAAGGAAGTGTCCTTAAATTATATTGATAAAACCTTTATATGGAGGTAACCTTATAAGGAAGTGTCCATAAATTATATTGATAAAACCTTTATATGGAGGTGGGCTTATAAGGAAGTGTCCATAAATTATTTTGATAAAACCTTTATATGGAGGTAACCTTATAAGGAAGTGTCCATAAATTACATTGATAAAACCTTTATATGGAGGTGGGCTTATAAGGAAGTGTCCATAAATTACATTGATAAAACCTTTATATGGAGGTGGGCTTATAAGGAAGTGTCCATAAATTACATTGATAAAACCTTTATATGGAGGTAACCTTATAAGGAAGTGTCCATAAATTATTTTGATAAAACCTTTATATGGAGGTACCCTTAAGAGTGTTTGCAAATGTAGATAGAGGTAATTTGTATATGACAAAATGTACATTATTTAACACAGCCTGTCAAGCTTATTTATATGTTGATATAAAAAGCAATATTTGATCACAGGATATTTGTACAAATGCACAGCCTTGAATGTTAAAAATAATAAAATTATGTATACCTTTGTTCATGTATTATCTGCAATAATTAGTAGGAGTTGGAACCTTAAATGCCAACAATATATATAAACTCACAGCATGAAAAGTTACATTAAATTTTTAAACACTGACATAAATGTCACACTGATGGGCCTTCGATCAGTGACAATTTTTCCTAGTTTTACAGCAGAATGTACAGCAAAGAGGGTGTTTTTTTTATATAGTTTTTCACAAAATAAAGAAAAAGTAGCAGAAATGGAGTTGGTCAATCGTCGACGACCAGGTACAATGTAGCTCAAATGGTGGAGAATCCGTCTAGAGTGTGGAGGGTCCCAGGTTGAAATACCAGTCTGTACGTTGCATTTCTCTTTCTTCTATCTTTCTTCCCTTACAAAAAAATGGAATATTTGTCCACTTTCACATAGATATAATCCTATATTTTCCTAATTCATGTAGGAACAAGCTGTTGTTAACAATATTGAGTAGAACATACATTGGCCTTCAACACGCATTACTTAAGTCAAACGAGAGGTCAGTGGACAAACCGAAACTGAAAGTAGACTTTCTTCACTCTAGGCCTATGGGTGGTGAGGGGGTAATGCTACTTGCTTTCTTTTCACATTTTTTTGTAATCATTAGACATTTAGTTTGCATCTTTCCATAACAAATAATTAAAATTAATTGATATTGTTTTCCAAATTGTCGAAATACCTCGTTATTTACTCTTGCCAGCGAGGAAATGGCAAGTCTCTCTTGTCTCGCGAGAATTAACAATATGCGAGAATTGTTCTTTGACCCGGAAGTAGATGGTTTGGCCAATCGAGGTAACCCACGAGTACACAGAGAATCGACTGCAAACTGATGCTCATAGGCGAAGGACACGTTTCTTTAGTAGGAACTTGTTTCCAACATGTCTGTGATAACAGTACGTGGAGTGATATGTCTAACGAAATCCATTATAATGTTTATATTATCCTTGGACGTCTATCTTGAAGGTAAGTTGACCTTTGTTTAGCTAATGTAACTCTGCTGTCAGTCGAATTTCATATGTAAACTTTACTTACCGGTACATTGTCGTTGGCAATTATTATAATATTCATCAACAAATATAAACTGCTTTCTTTATTTCAAATCATTGTAATCACATTACAAAGTTCGAATGTGATAAGTATATGAGATTTGATACACAAATCATATTTGGCTTATTAAATTTCTTGTGTAAAATTGATATAAAATGGGAGGTGTAGAGTAAACACTATTTATAAACAGCACACTGATTCAAAATATTTAATTCAATGCTGTTATTTAATTGACTGTTGGCATGGATTGAGAGTTTGCAACTATCTTGCTCTCTCAAATCGAATGAAAATATAGTCTAAGCCAGCCGATATTCAAATGCATGGTAACAGGTTATTTCGCCCTAAATCCTGTTCGCTCTAAGGGTTGTTTCGCCCTAAATGCCGTTCGCCCTAAATGCCGTTCGCCCAAGGTTGTTTCGCCCTAAATAAAAAATAAAAAATGTATACGCTTATATGCTAATTAATATTTAACTATATCAACTGAACTTATTGATCAATAACTTTTTATATTGGTGTTAGGTATATTTCATGTAGAAAAATATGCAACTGTGAAAGTGTGGAGTCAGCTTTTCACAGCAGCCGTTTGTCACACTCCCTTAAAAACAACACGAACAACTTTTTTTTTTATAAAATTGATTTTAATGATATGGAAGACTAAGAAGACTTAATTTGTGACTTAAAACTACTAAAATTGAAAGAAAATACCAAACAATATTTCGCCCTAAATTTTTTGTTAGCGCGAAACAACCTACGGTGAACAGGATTTTGGGCAAAACAACCCGGAACCATTCAAACCAGGGGCCTCTGAACTCTAGATGAATTAACAGTCTATTGTTACAAATTAAGTAACCTGGTATCAACCCAGTAAATTTATGTTAGTTTTGTCCCCACCTTTTACTAAGTCTTTGCCAGGTGAAGACAACACTATTTACTACAGGATTTGGTATTCCCAAACAGCCTACACCCAGTAACCGAAGGATTATGGGTTGATCACAGGCACCGCTGTCACAGCTAGGAGAGGAAAAATGCATGGTCAGACCAGGATTCAAACCTTGACCTCTGAACCCTAGACAGATGCTCAAACCAATTGAGATCTCCATTACAGATCACCATCAATTGACCAAGTCGGAGTCCGAGAGTTCCTCTATATCGATATTGGGACACTGGCATTTGAAACATCCACTCATGTTTGCCCGTGGGACTCACCGACTTTTTCAAACCCACTGCATGTATACGTACCTTTGGGTGACTAATGAGTCCAGGTGCTCCTCAACATTTTAGAAATTATGTTTAGGACTCCTCTAAAATGATCCTACAAAATAATCACTGCAGATATGACATGCAGGTTACACATAAGGCCAAACAAAAAATAATGGCGTTTCCGGTAACCCTACCTATCCTTGCTTTTTGTGCCTACCCTAAGGTTTTTAAGGCATGCAATTTCTAAAGAAGCTCTATTAAATTCAAGACCACTCTCCTATAATATTATTTTCAAATGTTACCTACCTACCCTAAATTTTTCAACATGTTACAGGAAACAAGTATGTGTTTTTGCCTGGCCTAATTTTTTTTATTTTTTTTTTTTACCTCAGTTGCTGGATACTTCTATCCTAATAAGTATCCTTGCTGATGTTCTGAAAACACAATCAATAATAAGAATTGCCTGTCCTAGTGAATAGATTGTAGAAAGTAAGTCTCTCGATTCCCATCAACCCCTTTGATATCTAGGACCTGATAAGAGGTCTAACACAAGTTTGGCCTGAAGCTGGAAGTTAAATGTGTGATTTGCATTTGGCACTCAAACTCATTTGGAATGTAAATGGGATAATAATAACAAAACAAAATACACCATGCATGATTGATTAGTTCATACTGAGACATGTAGAAATAGACAACTGATACTGAAAATTGATTCTCCGAAGCATCAGACATGTACATGAAACATCAACAATAATGCAAGCATAATTTTTGCCATACTATCTTAAAAACTTACTCCATTACATATATAAGACTTGTGTAAGGTTAGAGTACAGTAAGTTTTATCCTTGGAGGTAGCGTTACAGCATTAGGTATGAAACAGGAAAGAGAATAGTCTGCTTCCACCGGGAATTGAACCCTTGATCTCCAGGTTCCTAGTCGGACGCTCAACCACTGAGCTATTTAGGGAAATTTCCTCTAGCTCAAAGCTAGAACGTGACCGTATTCCAATGTACAATTGAAAGCTGCCACACATATTTATTATGCAGTTATATATAACTTCGTGTTGTGATGGTTCTTGGCAGAACAAATTTGTTGGTAGAGATTGCATTTAGGTTTATGTATCCTGTTGTTTTTCTACCTCATATGGACCAGTTTACTTAAGGTTGTAGGAAGACATCATTATTGCCATTAGATTGCTTTGATTTTATACAATATGAATTTGGCTTTTGCCCTAGCCACTAAGAGCAAAAATCATCTTTATCATTTTCTGTCATTATTATTTTTAATTCCAAGACACATATGTACCCTGAAGTTACTAAAACATTGTTGATACATAATCAATGTTTGATTTTATAGCTTTATTTTTTCAATAAATGTGTAGCCGGTTCCAATGTTAGGGCAATTAATACACCTCTCAGCAATGTCTCCAGGGCTCTTTTGTTTATTAAGAAGCAAATTCCCTGACAAAAGAAATCTACAAATAACGAATACAAACCATCAATTTATACACATTCGCACGTACATGCACATGCAAATATATAACATTCAATCAATTCAATATCCAATAAGTTTAATAATAGCAGTTAGTATTGAATTGCTATAAGAGAAAATAAGAAAAGGAATAGCTACTTATTATTTAGCAGTTACTTAGACAGGAATATATATGTTTTCTGGACATGGTGAAACTAGCGACTAATATTGAGTCTCCAAAACCACATGCTATATAAAGTTATTAATTTATGAAACAATTGTATTAATTATAAATTGTACATGATGTAGCATATTTAAAACCTACATATAAACAATACTTCCTCACTTAAAACACTTACCGCCGTGTAACAGCAAAATGCCACATAATGTCCTACAGCTAATATCAGAGGGCTCGATCATTAGCAGGTACAGCATATACAATGTAAAAGTCCTACTCTGTCAATGTATTTGGTCAGAGAGACCCAAATACGGTACTCGACCCCAACTCTCTAGCACATGAATAAGACATCATGTGACAAACACAACGGGTACACAGGTAACGCACTGGCACATGAACAGGTAAAACGCATTACTCACACAAGGGGTGTCGACACGGACGTATGAAAAGTAAATGAATAGCATAAACAAAAAGAAGAATGTGAAAGATATACAGAAGAGGAATATACTTACTTGAAATATAATTTGCTAAAGCACTAAATAGGTGCCTGCCACAAATGTATGATATTTGATGAATTGATTCTTCCAGGTGTAGATGGATCTCCTGCAGAAGTACAACAGCACCTGGAAATGGGGAAGAAACTTCTAGCAGCAGGTCAGCTGGCCGACGCTCTGTCACACTACCATGCTGCAGTGGGTAGGTACACATTTAATTGACTGGTTGACACTCTGTCACACTACCATGCTACACTGGGTAGGTACACATTTAATTGACTGGCTGACCTCTGTCACACTACCATGCTACAGTGGGTAGGTACACATTTAAGTGACTGGCTGACACTCTGTCACACTACCATGCTACAGTGGGTAGGTACACATTTAAGTGACTGGCTGACACTCTGTCACACTACCATGCTACAGTGGGTAGGTACACATTTAAGTGACTGGCTGACACTCTGTCACACTACCATGCTACAGTGGGTAGGTACACATTTAAGTGACTGGCTGACACTCTGTCACACTACCATGCTGCAGTGGGTAGGTACACATTTAAGTGACTGGCTGACACTCTGTCACACTACCATGCTGACAGTGGGTAGGTACACATTTAATTGACTGGCTGACATTCTGTCACACTACCATGCTGCAGTGGGTAGGTACACATTTAATTGACTGGCTGACACTCTGTCACACTACCATGCTGCAGTGGGTAGGGACACATTTAATTGACTGGCTGACCTCTGTCACACTACCATGCTGCAGTTGGTAGGTACACATTTAACTGACTGGTTGACACTCTGTCAAACTACCATGCTACAGTGGGTAGGTACACTTTTAATTGACAGGCTGACACTCTGTCACACTACCATGCTACAGTGGGTGGGTACACATTTAATTGATTGGCTGACCTCTGTCACACTACCATGCTGCAGTGGGTAGGTACACATTTAATTGACTGGCTGACACTCTGTGACATTACCATGCTGCAGTGGGTAGGTACACATTTAATTGACTGGCTGACCTCTGTCACACTACCATGCTGCAGTGGGTAGGTACACATTTAATTGACAGGCAGACACTCTGTCACATTACCATGCTACAGTCGTTAGGTACACCTTTAATTGACTGGCTGACCTCTGTCACACTACCATGCTGCAGTGGGTAGGTACTCATTAAATTGACAGGCTGACACTCTGTCACACTACCATGCTACAGTGGGTAGGCACACATTTAATTGACTGGCAGACACTCTGTCACATTACCATGCTACAGTCGTTAGGTACCCCTTTAATTGACTGGCTGACCTCTGTCACACTATCATGCTACAGTGGGTAGGTACACATTTATTTGACTGGCTGACGGCTCGACAGTGAATAAGTTCATTATTGTCAAGTTCATGATTATTAAAAGATTCTGGTTGTCCCCAGTGCTTATCCAGCAGGGCTTCAAATGTTTTTATTGTTGGTGATGTGACAACGTGATTTGGCCGGGAATTCCAATGGTTGGCCACTCTTTCTTTAAAGGAATACTTTCTGAAGTTCAATTTAGATATTCCTTTTCAAGTCGGAGACTATGACCTTTTGTTTGTTTGTTTTTCGTTTATATTTAAAAAGCCTTCTGTTCAATATACAAATAGATTAGAATGAAAAATTGATACAGACACTTTAGTATACATATGAAATCTCTTTTAGTGAACCCCCCCCACAAATACTACTATCCATGGCTTATTTTTACATTTCAGATGGAGATCCAAATAATTACATGACATATTTCCGCCGTGCCACAGTGTTTTTGGCTCTTGGGAAATCCAAGTCTGCCCTTCCAGACCTTGACAAAGTTATACAGTTAAAACCAGACTTCACTGCTGTAAGTTTACGTTATACAGGGTCTTGGTGACTAGCATGATTGAAAATTACCAAAGTTTGTTGTTCATATTCGTTACAAAACAGAAAGTTTTCTTGTAAATGTACATATAATTCTTTTATAATGGAACATTTAATTTCAGTAATTTGGGGAGACATATATATGAAGTTGTACATCAGCACCTTTCTCAACCAAACAATTTTGACATCAAAATTATCAGAAAAGCCAAGTAAAATCTGTTTATAGGGAAGTTTTTCTGTAAAGTATCTGCTAACCTATGTATACACAAAAGTTGTTTTTCTATGAATGTCCTTATGCTGTCTAGTATCAAAATGTTTTTTTTGACTGATACTCTTATAGATATGTTGTATTTTCAGGCCAGATCTCAGAGAGGAAATGTATTACTAAAGCAGGGAAATCTAGATATGGCCAAGGCGGACTTTGCTATAGTGGTAAGTGTTATCATTGAATGACAGCAATTACAACTTATCACAGTCGTAAAAGATACATTTGTGTTGTGATGGAAATATAAAAAAATATGTATTGCTTGAAAATCCCACTTAGATTTGGCACTTCTTTTCTCCCTATTGGATTTAAGTTGATGAAACAGAGCAAAAGCTATTAGTATTAACATAAATTTCAATGGTAAGAAAATTTTAGTACACCAAGTTGATGATTTATTTTCAATATTACAATTATAATTGCCCCACACACTTAAAAATATGGTTTAGGGGCTACATAGTAGAATTTTTAACTTTATCTGCACAAAAAGCATGTCCGTGTTTATGATTATGTGATATCTGTCAGTCTTTCATTCAGCCTCTATCATGCATCTTTAAATGACTTCTTCTGCAGCACCATGAATACTAGTCATAATATTTTCCCTGGAAAATAGACAGATAAAAGAACACGTATGACGACAAGGTAGCTCAATCGATTAGAGCGATAGTATAACAATGTGGAGTCCAGGGTTCTAATTCTGGTCTGGCCCCACTGAAGTTTTACACTCAAAAAACACTATTGTTGATTACATTTTGTTTATTTCATCTTTATTTTTTTCATTATAGTCCTGCAAGGTATACTTTATTTATCAAAACTATAGTCATGCCCTAAGAAACAGTTTCCAACACTTAAAGTTTCTGGCAGTGGTACAAGAATCCTTAACTGTCTGTGGCAGTGGTACAAAAATCCTTAACTGTCTGTGGCAGTGGTACAGGGATCCTTAACTGTCTGTGGCAGTGGTCCAAGGATCCTTAACTGTCTTTGGTAGTGGTACAGGGATCCTTAACTGACTTTGGCAGTGGTACAGGGATCCTTAACTGTCTTTGGCAGTGGTACAGGGATCCTTAGCTGACTTTGGCAGTGGTACAGGGATCCTTAATTGACTTTGGCAGTGGTACATGGATCCTTAACTGTCTTTGGCAGTGGTACAGGGATCCTTAACTGACTTTGGCAGTGGTACAGGGATCCTTAACTGTCTGCGGCAGTGGTACAGGGATCCTTAACAACTGACTTTGGCAGTGTTACAAGGATCCTTAACTGACTTTGGCAGTGGTACAGGGATCCTTAACTGTCTTTGGCAGTGGTACAAGGATCCTTAACTGTCTGTAGCAGTGGTACAAGGATCCTTAACTGTCTGTGGCAGTGTTACAAGGATCCTTAACTGTCTTTGGCAGTGGTACAGGGATACTTAACTGTCTGTGGCAGTGGTACAAGGATCCTTAACTGTCTGTGGCAGTGGTACATGGATCCTTAACAACTGACTTTGGCAGGGTACAGGGATCCTTAACTGTCTTTGGCAGTGGTACAGGGATCCTTAACTGTCTGTGGCAGTGGTACAAGGATCCTTAACTGTTTTTGACAGTGGTACAGGGATCCTTAACTGTCTTTGGCAGTGGTACAGGGATCCTTAATTGACTTTGGCAGTGGTACATGGCTCCTTAACTGTCTTTGGCAGTGGTACAGGGATCCTTAATTGACTTTGGCAGTGGTACATGGCTCCTTAACTGTCTTTGGCAGTGGTACAGGGATCCTTAATTGACTTTGGCAGTGGTACATGGCTCCTTAACTGTCTTTGGCAGTGGTACAGGGATCCTTAATTGACTTTGGCAGTGGTACATGGCTCCTTAACTGTCTTTGGCAGTGGTACAGGGATCCTTAACTGACTTTGGCAGTGGTACAGGGATCCTTAATTGACTTTGGCAGTGGTACATGGCTCCTTAACTGTCTTTGGCAGTGGTACAGGGATCGTTAACTGACTTTGGCAGTGGTACAGGGATCCTTAACTGTCTTTGGCAGTGGTACAGGGATCCTTAACTGTCATGAAAAATACCTAGTGTAAATTTTTGATTTTGTTTAATTTCTTCCAATTTTCTTTACAGTTATCCAGAGATCCAACCAATGAAGAGGCAAACCTTAATATACAACAGATACACCCATTACAAAGTAGTATAGAAGAGGCAAAACGCTTTTTTCATATGAGGGAGTTTCAGGCTTCTATAGACCTGCTGACACAGGCAATCGAGGTAAGTCACATGATAGCTGGTACTCTTATATACACATAGTTATATTACCAGTTTACACTATAGTCCATGATCTCAACCATCCTCCATATCCAGGGTTAATCTCACTTTCGCTATCTGCACCCGTGGAATATGTCAAAGCAAAATTGAAGGCACAAAGATAGCTGTTTGATTGGTCTCAGGTAAAAAAAACTGACCAATCGCTAGGCTGATACCTGTCCTTTGAAGATTACAAAGGAGAGACGCCCGACTTCAAAGCCTGTCAATTTTTACCGTTACGCAACCGCGAGATTCTTTTGATGTGTATCAAAGGATCAAACTAGTCACCTCGTCTCGTCCTCAAGGTACTGCACATTGAGACTTCAATTTTGCTATGACATATTCCAGGGGTGTAGAGAGCGAAAGTGAGCGTATAACCCCTGGATATCGAGGATGGGTCTTAACAGACCTGCTGACAATATGTAAGGCTTAAGGGGGGTCAAATTCCACAAGCCAGACCCCAGAAGTTTGTAGATTTTACATCAGGACTAGCATGGATGTAGCCTGCAGAGGAGTAATCATAATTCAGTGTAATATTGAAAGTACAGAAAGTGCTAAAACTAGAATACTATTAAATAATTTCTTTTACTGTAATATTGTTTCATAAAAATCCACCATTGCTGCATACTTATTACTGCACTGTGATACAGCCAGCATGACCTTAATCTTTCTACAAGGTGTCTTCAAATCGGGTGTATTACAGGTATGTCCCTGGGATGTGGAGCTCCGGGAGATCAGGTCAGAGTGTTACATGGCCCAGGGTGATTACTTTAAGGCCGTCGGAGATATTCGGTCCACAACCAAGCTCCGCAATGACAACACACCAGCCTTCCTCAAACTCAGCCTCCTCTACTATGACATGGGAGACGCAGAGAATTCTCTTCTGTAGGTCTTTGTTACAGGGTTAACTTGAATTGTTGATAAATTCAGAATAGGTCTTTCACAGAAGGTTACAAGTGTCAAAACTTAGCTTTGAGAAAAAATATGTTTATGTCTGAAAATGTTAATTATCACCAAAAATCCAAGATCTAGGTCTTAATTTTGGATTAAAAGACTGACTTTTGGTGAAATTAGTTTCATTGACAGAAAAAAAATATGTCAGAAGTTCAGTTTTATATCTGGACAGTATGGTTGTACTTTTATAGGAGATAACTTTTTAAGGATCCCTGTCCCATTGAACTGTGGTTTTTCGTTCAGTATATATTGTATACATGTACAAAAACCTCCCAGGGATCAATCTAGACTTGATTCACTACCGTTTATGGGTAGTTTCCCCTACAGAAGAAAATTCCCCTGTTCTTTGAAATTCCCCCTGTGTGCTTCAAAATTCTCCCATTTCAACAAGAAAATAGACGTTTTTTTCTTTAAAATATTTCCTCTATATATGTTTTCTTTAAAGTTGAACAGTTAAAATACATAATACTGCATATAAACCTTTTTCTCCACATAATTTCATGAGCTAGAGCCTTGTATCAAGATTCTAATTTCCCCCCAAATGTGAAAAAGGGTAATTTCACCTTAAACCTAGATTGTTCCCTGCCTCCCCTTAACTTTGTTTAAGATACTACTGTAGCACAGTTGGGCCAGGACATTTTGTTGACCAGGTAGCTCAATCAATAAGAACGAAGGTGTAACAACAAGAGGTTTAGGGTTGGAATCCTAATTAGCCGTGCTGTCTTTTTAAACTCAGAACACTCTTGTTGATTATTTTTTGTTTAATTTCAGCTCTGTTATGTTTTTTCATAAATGTCTCACAAGGTATTTTTTTCACAAGTGAACTTTCAAAGTTAAAGTTGTGTCAGAAAAATGAGTTTTGAATGCATAGTTTCAGATTTTGTCAGTGGTAAAGGGATCCTTAATGACAATTTATATATTGTTACACTGTTTGACAATGACAGTAGTACAGGGATCCTAAGTTACACGATTTGGCAATGGTACAGGGATCCTTAATAAATATATTACAAGTGTGTAAGGTATCAGGTAGAAAAATACTCTTACTGATATGTGATGCAGTCTGGTATTGATAACAGATTTTTTTCTTTGTAGAAATATACGAGAATGTTTAAAACTTGACCCTGATCATAAAGCATGTCATCCTCATTATAAGAAAGTAAAGAAGCTAGTCAAACAGATACAGTCGGCCCAGGACTTCAGAAATGAGAAACGGTATGAAGAATGTATATCCAAAGCTCAACAGATGCTTACTACAGAGCCGACTGTCACACTGTACATCATGAAGGCCAAGTCTTTCTTATGTCACTGTCGTTCCAGGGTAAGAAATCAAGTTTACTAGATCAAAATCCAGTGATACATAAATTATATAGAAATCACAACAAATTTCAGATAAGCTGGAAAAAAAATCAATTTCTAAAAAACAGTTGACTTACTTTTCCTTCAAGCAAAACTGTAATTAATGTTGGGGAAAATCAGTTTTATTGTAGAGCTATTTCCCCTTCCAGTCGTCAACTTAAACTTTTTCACTCTTTCGTATTCTTTAGTGAAATTGGTTCCATAAAAAAAATCATAAAAATCTTATTTTAATACAGCAGTTTGGAACTTGTTTTTATTGGGTATATAGAATCTGAACAGATCCTGAACACACAACCACACTATGATGTCTCCTAAACTATTTGTATTCAGTAAGTTAAATAGATTATTATCCAAATTTCTCTGTCTTGATGAGATTCATCACCTTGATATGAATTTTTACCGGAAAACTTCATACCTGCAGGCGGGACATATAGAGGAGGCGTTTGATATCTGTAACGAGATTCTAAATTTGGAGCCAGAAAACATAGAGGCTCTTATGGATCGGGCCGAAACCTATATATTTAATGAACAGTTTGATCAAGGTAAGTTATTTGATTTACTATTGACTTAGTGCCAGTTTAACCATAGATTCATGTATTGATCATTGGATGATTTCAAAGCAGGAAAAAATTGTTGTTGTTTTTTTTGATATCAGAATGTTAAAAAAATAAAAAAAATGATTCTGTTTCAAAATATTGTACATTTAATCTTTTGTTGTTTTTAAACAGAATTGATGATGTTTATTTGGAGGTGTACAATTTCATATTTATTTTACAAGTCCTCATGTTGATTTTTGAGAAGAAAAAAATCTTTTAGACTGACCAGTGTTTTTCATGGTAAATATTAAAATGTTCACTCAGCTCGACATAAAATCTACTTGCCCTTGGCATAGGGATGGTAGAATTGTACACACTTTGTCATCTTAGGTCTGTCATCAATACATTTCCCTTGTCAGAGTTTTCAATTATATTGATAGCAAGTTATTTACAGGGTTTTTATTTATGACTTGTATTCATAGAAGATGAATGTGAGTGTAAAATAGCATACAGCCTTAAGGATCAATGTCTCGCTGTAAGTGAAACACAAAAGAATTCCACTAGAGCTTTTTATACATGCAGTTACTTCCCCTTGTTATGTTTTGGATGTAACTGAAGTGTTACTAAGATAGGTTATTGATTATTGATATTGGTTAACTTGATAATATAATGATCTGAGGTCCCGTGTTCAAATTCTGGCCTTATCTTTTTGTCTTTTTACACTCTGAACACTGTTGTTGGTATATTTTTGTTAATTTCATATCTTTCTCATCTATTACTTGTTCTGACTATTGACAATTACTATCGCCTGATTTTTATCTTCTAGCTGTGAACGACTTCCAGTTTGCTGTAAACATAGACGGTGATAACCGACAAGCAAAAGAAGGCTTAGATAAAGCTCAAAAATTACTTAAACAGTCACAAAAAAGAGACTATTACAAAATTCTAGGTATAAAAAGGTGAGTAATCGATACATTAATGAACTAACAAGGATAGTGTGATACCCAATTTCTTGTTGAAAGGAACTAATGTTCTCCTTGTTCACTGTACGGTTAGTTATTTGTGAAAAGTTTATTAAAGTGACATAGGGGTGAAAGGGTTAAATGGATTCAAAAGTTCTGTCATGATATTTGTTTCTGAATTACAATTTGCAAAATTCATTTGATATGATTTTTATGCCCCTACCATAATCTAGTGTTGTATTGTTTGGTCAAACGTCCCGTTTCGTCCTGTCCGGTCCCCTCCCGTCCTGTCCTGTCCCGTCCCGTCCTGTCCCGTGATCAAAGTGGTTGTAACTATTTATAGAATATCAAACATTGATACTGAAATATTTCACAGACGGAGGCATTCATGTCTTACAGACATTTTCTTGTTTCTTTTTTGCTTCATCTGTATTTTTCATTCCAGAACTGCAAGAAAAAAAGAAATAATGAAAGCATATAAAAAAATGGCGAAGAAATGGCATCCCGATAGATATAAAGGAGATGACAAGAAAAAGGCGGAGAAAATGTTTGTAGACATCGCAGCGGCTAAGGAAGTCCTCACCGATCCAGGTAAGGGACAGAGCTAGCTAAAGAAGTCCTCACCAATCCAGGTAATGGACAGAGCTAGCTAAAGAATTCCTCACCAATTCAGGTAATGGACAGAGCTAGCTAAAGAAGTCCTCACCAATCCAGGTAAGGGACAGAGCTAGCTAAATAAGTCCTTACCAATCCAGGTAATGGATAGAGCTAGCTAAAGAAGTCCTCACCAATCCAGGTAAGGGACAGAGCTAGCTAAAGAAGTCCTCCCCAATCCAGGTAAGGGACAGAGCAAGCTAAAGAGGTCCTCACCAATCCAGGTAAGGGACAGAGCTAGCTTTCAATAGACAATTTAGAAAATTCCAGGCATGGATTCCGTGCTCAAACTAACTTTCTTGAAAGTCGCTTAAATCATGTCAAACGATCAAAAAGTCAAATGTATATATTGAAAACATTTTTATGCTCTTCAATGCGTTTCCAAATCATGGACAAAATAAGATTTTTTTTTTAATTTATCAATGGAACAAGAAATTAGGCTTGAGCACAAATTCCATGCTTGAGCATGAGAACGATTTCGTGAATACGGGCCCAGGTGTCTACCCTAAAAAAGTGGTCTCTTTCAAAAGTAGTGTGCTATTCTCAGATTCATCATTTTGTATTTAAAGTGGATGCTAGGGCTGCTTTTGTTTATTTTGTTCCAAACAGGTAAACTGGTTGTTTTCAGGCGAGAATTTGGAAAGACATTCAAGGCCTGCATTAACATTGACAGGGTCGTCAGGTTTTACCACTGAAATATTACATTTAAAAAATCCAAACTGTTTGGTTGGCATCGACAAACAGGACCCACACTTTGGTTCAGTTCAGTACTCATCAGCTAGAGTTTGGTGTTATTTCTATACTGAAGGGGAATATTATCTTATGTAGCATGCTAGATTTTGAAACTGCTTGTCAAGGAAATGAAAACTTTGAGGCATTGTACCCCTTCACCACTGTAGACCATAATGAACTCATCCATATAAATGTATGGTAGAGTCTATTAAAGTTACCTAGGGTCGAAAGGGTTGATAGGCAGGTTCCAAGAACAAAGCTTGAGCTTGGGGGAAATTCTGTTGTTGATCAAAAGTTGGTTCAAAATCTACATCCTGTGTTCAAATGATTTCCTAGTTACTGCAGGGTGTGTGTAATTGTCCTAACAGGTGTGTCTGAATCCAATGAATGTTTTCTGGAGTTATTTTGATACATAAAAAGGGAAAGATGAATTGAGCAAAGCAGTTTCAGTCCCGTTTCACACACTTTCTCCCTCATTGGTAATGTGGAATGAGGGAGATCTCCCTCATTGGAGGTTTCAGACGCTGACACCTATGAGTCTATTGATGAATATGAAGAAAATATTTCAGTGATGTCTTTTCTTTCAGAAAAAAGGCAGCAGTTTGATAATGGTGAGGATCCGTTAGACCCCGAGCAGCAACAGCATGGTGGTGGCCATCCCTGGAACCAGGGCTTCAATCCGTTCGGATCAGGCGGCGGGGGCGGTGGCTACAACTTCAAATTCCACTTCAATTGATGATGGCACATATTAAGTAGAAATTATTTTCTTAAAACCGTATTGAATTGGTTTTTATACTGTTATTGATGCTTGTATTGAAAGGATATTTTCCAATTCTTCATTCCAATGCAAAATTTTCTGAATTATTTTTTGGTCAATAGTTGCCTTATCATCATATATAAACAACACAAAACTGTATGTTAGAGGTTTTGTATTAATAGGGATTATATCTGCTCAGATATTTTGTAAAGATATCTCAATTTTTTAGTGGGGTTCCCTTTTTGAACACTTTTTGATGGGTGATGTACTTCCATAACATTTTCTACTCTCAAGGAGTAACCGCTAAAAACCAGTGAAATACAGTGTACAGCTCAGTAAAATCTTGTCTCATCCAGACCCTGTGTAATCTGATAACCTGTATAAACCAGACCATCAGCTTGGTCACACTCTATATGTTTCTAGTCTGAAAACTTTTCTGTCCCGGGGAAAATTTTGGTTAAATTGTTATTTTTGAAAGTAAAAAGTTAACATGAAAGAAATCTGAAAAATGTTTCCATACACTTGTACCAATCCGTCCTCGTGATCTGGATCATTCTTACGTTTGGCTTGGACAGATTTTACTATGTGAATTTTTAGGAATAACTAACTAAAGACTTTAGTACATGGTGTTTTTCATTCTGAGATACTCGCTAAAAACTCTTCAACATTGTTGTTCAACCTACTATTTTTTTTCTCCATTTTTTTGTGTGTGACCAAACTAAACCAATTTTATAACCAAAGTGATTGTTCCATTTTGTACACCAATTTGGGTTTTGTTTCTGTGTTTTAAGTCTTTCCTGTTGGTTTGCCAGATTGTAGAGTTGCCAGGTTTCCAAAGCTCCCTAACTCATTCACCCCTGAAATTTGATAATGAACTATTCCAATCTTTGAATTAGAAGGGTTCAAATGTGTCTTCAGGGGTGAACGAGTTAAATCAAGTCATATTTGAAGCAAAATGAAAATCTCTAAATTTGAGGTTTGTTTTCCCATCACAAACACTGTTTCAACAGATATTTTATGAACTGAGAATTTGAAATTGAAACCCTATCTACGAATATGAGTCAAGCCTTGTTACAGAGAACATATATCTGTAATAATTTATTGTTTATGAGTGAATTCATTGTGAAAATGACGACATATGTTTTGAAAGTTATAGTTTTTAGTATATGTATGTATGTTTGTGCTTTGGTGAATTTGAATGGATGGAAATGATTAAACAATGTGTCCAGTATAATTCTCAGATTGAGATGAAGATCATCCTGTTTTAAGGTACAGCAACACGATATTACACTGAAATCAATGTAGAACCTGGGATGTTAGGTTTATTCAGGAATACCAGATTTTAGAACTGTTTTTCTTGAATTCCATTCCAGCTTTTTTGTCTGCTCTAGACTGATATTTTATCTAACCAAGCAGTTTTGAACTATAATATCAAGTAGTAATATCTATATATTTTTTAATAGACGGCTTATTTCTGTTTTTGTTACAAAACAACCCCTAGGTATCTTTTCTGTGTGGTTGTGTCTTTGCTGCTTTTTGTTTGAAGGATCAGACAGCAGATTCATTAAATTAACCTGAGCCCCATGTTGGAGTAATACATATAGACTGTATACTGTTTGTGTTCCATGCTAATAAATCTGTAAACTATGTTTTATGAATGGTCATTTGGATAGGGTAATTAAGTAATTTAGGACATATTACAAAGTATACCAGAATATATCTGCATTTTTTTTAAGTTAAGGGAGATAACTCTTATCAGAATTTGTAATGTGAAATATAGCATACAAAGTAACTATAAAGTCAAATATCTGGAGCTTTGTGTAAAAATAAAGTGGATTTTTTTTTGGGGGGGGGGGGGTGTAAAATTATATAGAAGAGGAATACATCCAAGTTAAAGAAAATTAAGAAATTAAAAAACACTAAATTCATCCAAAAAAAAAATAGCCTTGATCACATCATGTAAGTTAACTTAAGACATAGATTATTATGGTCACCTAGAAAGTCAAATAAATGAAATGATATAGAAATAAAATGTCATCATTTTAATGAATTTGGATGGTATTGGTCGTTGTTTACCTGAAACATTTTTTGCCATTGGTCCAGAAGGTGAATTATACAGGAAAAAAACCCCAAACTGTTAGCTACTTAACTCATCAACCCCTGGAGACATATTTGAACTCTTCCAATTCAAAGGTTGGAATAGTTCATTATGAAACTTCAGGGGTGAATGAGTTAAAGTGATTAAAATTTCCATCAGGAGGGTCAATCAGCATTCAATGAGAAATATTTTGAAAAATGCAAGGACGGAAATTTGGATGTGAAATATTACAGTCCAACGTATGTACACAAGTACTAGCTATAGCCTCGTCTGTCAATACACCTATAATATAATGATTATATTATAGGTGTATTGACAGACGAGGCCAGTACCTGTGGTATGTGTATGCTGAGCTATTAAAGGTCAGTAATGTACTAAAGTGAAATCCATGTTTTCAGTGCTGTAGATTTTTGTGCATGTTCAGTACTGTTGAGAGTGTTCTCAAAAATTGTATCGAATGCTTTATACCGTCTTTTCGTATTGCAGAGTTATCTGCTCTTGTGAGTAGGTATTGATTGTTACGTCATTAGTTTGTGTGAGAAAATTACATCGTTTTCTCAAAAATTTTTGACGTTACTCTCACAAACAAATGATGTAACAATCAATAACTGCTCACAAGAGCAGATAAATCTGCAATACGAAAAGACAGAATAGTTTTATCGGGAGCTAGCATTGTCTCTGGCAGTAGTACAGAAAAAATGTCTTCTTTCTGCAATTTTTTATCATTATCAGCTTAATTAAATTGTATGTGTCTGTTTCCTATTGGTTCACTAAAATAAAGATATTTTTTTAATAAAAGCAGTTTTAATTTTGATTATTAAAAAGAAAATTTTGTAAATGATATTAAAATTCATGGCTTCGATTATTTATTGATTGATTGCTTTTATGAAAATAATAATTTAAGTCTTTGGCCTGCATAATTATTGAAAACTTGCATCTGGCTGTCTTTATGTACCGAATATCTTAAATCCAATTATTGCATCGGAAACATCATTGTTATTAGACATTATGTATCTCAGGTTAGCAAAATAGAAGGAATTTTATTAAATGCTTATTGTTGCATTATATGCTGTCATTCATGTGACGATCTCAATTTGCAACCAATCATATTCTTTGAATCATCCTGTAAACGAAATGTAACAATAATTTTCCCTGCAGTATAATTGCTTGTTATTAGTATGAGCAGAGTTAGACAGCCAATATCACAAGATCTAAAGAATCGATTAACTTATAGACACCAAGTTTTTCAAGAAATGCTGTTAAATAGCATTAATTGATATACAGAAAAAACTCTTCATTCCACCGCTATTTGTCCAGATAAACGTTGGCTGTATAAAGAGGTTTGGCAATAAATTGAGGGAATTGTTTAAAGGAATTCTTTTAAAAAGAGAAAAATTGACATTGCAATATGGTGGCAGTACTGAGCAAAGGCAAAGGGAAGAGGGGCATTATATCAAGATTTTACTTCACTGTAAAAATATGTATCTGTGTATAGTCGCAAGCTCTATGTTAGGGCAATAAATCTTTAAAAAATCAAGGAATTACATAATAATTGTGAACCAAAGACATCTCCCTTGCGGAGAAATAAAAATCCCTAGAACTGCCTTTTGGTTTGTTGGTACATATATGGAATAAACTAAATTTGATAATGTATTTGTGTTATGTCAGTAATGCTCCAGAAAAGATATTCTGATGTTTACTTCTTTGCTTGATATTATTTAAGTTTTTCATGTTGTAAAATCCTAATTATCAAGATTCAAATCGTCCAATATATTTACTTTTTCGAATACTTATAATTAAGAACTTAATGCAGGGAAAATTTAAATACCTTTCACTTTTCCTCAGGATCTTCGTGAATTATTTAGGATCTTAGTAACGACATGCTATTCTTTCCAAATAACATTTGTTTAGGATCTTTAGTGGTGTTCAGTGTCCAATCACAAATTTTTAGGATTTCAGTGACCTATTTCTGCTGAAAGGCCATTAGCGCATAATAGTGCACATAAAATCATCCGAATCGTTTTAAAGAATAAGACCTGGTTGTTTCTGACAATGTAATTGAAATGTCCATATTGATAAAATTTACTACATAATTTTAAACATACAGAAATATTTGTTTTTTTGTTTTTCTCTAATTGGTCAACTTCATAATGTTATAGGTCATCATGGAGTGTTTTGATAGAGTAATGAGTTTAGAAGCTTTTTGAAAGACTTTACTGCAAGTTTAGTTTCTAAGTCTGGTGTGTCTGTGATCTTATCTAAGTGTCCAGCTGAAACTAATAGGGGAAAAAATGGCTGACATTGACAAGTCAAATTAAAATATATTATTTATTTTGCAAAAGATGCACTTGTAGATTTTGCATAAAAACCAAATGATGGTAAATTTTGGAAATCATATACAGTGAAAAATAACTAGGACTGGAGTAAATGAAGAGGTGAGTGATGATTGGTCAACCGAGTCGTTTCAATGGAGACAGGTTCATCTATGCAGAATGTTTGAGAAGTAACTGTGTGTGTTTCCAAGTGAGTGACAAGAGGTTTAAATGTTTTCATCACAGATTTTATGGTCAACTACTATATGTAAATAAAATCTTTATATAACTTATGAGTTTGTTTGTTTATTGGACTGGTAGCTCCTCATTGTTATATATGTATTGTCAGGTTAGGATCAATTATATTCTCATAAGAAAGCAAATCATAAGTAGAGTATTTTAAAGTGTTGGTGTTAGAATGTTACTTAGTACAGAAGTTTTAGTAAACGAGTGGGGATCTCAACCCTTTATCTGTTATGACATAATGACCAAGTTTCCGAGGGCGGGGCAGATCAAGGGAGAAATCCTGGTAGGATGTGTCTATTCATCTCATCACGCCAAGTAATTTTATGTATGGTTCTAGAGATTTCATCCAAACCACTTCCAAGTTATAACCCCTATTTGGCCCTGCCCTTCAGCTCCAGGGGTCAACCCCTTCATTCCCTACAATTTTAAATCCCCATCATCAGACGTTGCTTGTTTTCGCTAGTATTAAGAAGTAGACCTTCCTCAAATTTCATATGTAGTTTCATCATGTTAATTTTGAGACTGATAGGTAGCTCAGGAATCGGGAAGGTCCTCTGAGATTTTGACAGTTAAAGATTGTTGTCGCTATTTTTCAGGAAGAACATGTCAGATCTTTAATACAGGGTTATGTACATTCGATATACAATGTGCTATTTTTGAGATACCTCATGTATCTCTTGTCGAGGTATCGGGCTCCGCTCACCGTGCTAGGTCTATTTCAGAATAGGAAATGTCTGGTTCAACGCCTCAGCTACAGTATGTTGAGATGGCCTTGATGAGGCCCAGACCGGACGTAAAAGGGTATTGATCAAATGTCTGATGATTACGTGGGGTTTTCTCCAGGTACGCCGGTATCCTCCCAAAAAGTACGTTGCATGTTTCTATAGAAGTTAACAGGGTGATTTATATGACTTTTATAATTTAAAGAACTGTTGTAAGGAATAAAACTTTAGGTTTTAAATGTTGCTTACAACAAAATTGTTCTCCGTTTAATCAGCAACATCATTGGCAATCTGCTCAGTTCACTGAACCAATGCCATCATTACTCTGTGTGGACTAAATAAAATACTACAGATACCTGAATAGATGTGTCCTGGAAGTGCAGGTCCATTTTTGTGTGAAATACAACCTTCTTAACTTTGACCTTATTGTAATATCTAACCATATTTCCTTATTATACCACACACACACACACACACACATACACTTATTGAGGGGGTATTATATATCCGTGTGTTATTCTGTTTTATCACATTATGCTTTATGATAATACAATTTATGACATTATTTACTGTTGTTTACAGTATAATAAATCACTTTGTCAGCGGATCCGTCCATGCGTCTGTCCGTCCGTTATAAAAATCGTGTAAACGAGATATTCCATGAACCTCTGATCGTATTTCGTTGGTAGGTGCACCATGATTATGGTGATTTAGAGTTCTACATCTGAAAACATGTGTGGTAGTCATTTGTCAAGGCTAAAGGTTCGAAGGTCACGGGCAAAGCCGGGGGAGGTATATTTATATTCCATCCTAGTCATGATATGTTCTGTATGCCTCCTATATATCGTCCTGGTATGTTGAGTTGATCTCGCAATAGCCTAGCTGTCTTAGGCTCGAGTAGGCACGTGCCTAGACATTATTTTCTCAAGATTTTATTTTTAGTCAGCGTAAATTTATAAAATTAAAAAAAATTGAATATGTGTTTTCACTAAAATAAAAAATTATATTATATCCAGGATGTTTTGTATATGTTTAGTACAAAATATGGAAAATCTTATTTTTTCCACATTCAAAAATACCTTGTAACACAGAAGTGCAACTTTTAAGCTGACATTACACAACCATATAACCCCAACCAACAAGTTTACGGTAACAATTCGAAACAACCAAATTTTTGAGACCCAATCAGAGGATCCCCCTCGCAGTGAAACTGTTTCGTCTTCCGAGGCTAATCAAAATAAGCTGAAGGCGTCATTCATAAACAACAGCTATATTTGGACATAGTCTAAGGTGTTTAGAGTAATTTTACATGTTTTGGGGGTTTAGATCAAATTTCGGTAAAAATGCCACCGCACGACTCGTATAATTTATATCATCAATAAAGTGGCATTTCTACCGAAATGTAGCTGTGACAATTTTTCAGGTCCCTGCGAGTTGGAGGAAGGCTAGCACTAAGCATGCTTGCATAGCCAATGTAACCCGAGCTATTCACTTTCCAATTGTTCGAAAGTCGAAATACTAGCTAATCATGCTTCTCTATTACAATCTTTCCAAATACCCATTAATGATAAGGATACGGACCTCTGCCTCGTTTGTGTAAGATTCCGAAATTTCACCAGAATCCTTATAAACAACGTTTTATCGTCGATTCATCTTGTTACTCAACCAAGAAATAACGCATAGTACCGTATAATCAAGGTTACAATCGTATTGTGACTCTATATACTTGGTAAGTTGAATAATTGCATTGTGGAATTTAAAGATTTCAAAAAAACATTCGATCATTTTTGAACATCCTCTTCTTAAGAATGTTTCTTATATCAAGCTTTCTTACTTTTCGACCCATTACACAACAATTCCTCGTGATAAATAGAAAGAACGCCCTCGTTTTCTTATCAAGAGGTTTCTTTTCCAAAAAAAGCATGTTTTGTGAAAAGCACTACAAAGGCTAAAATAACTAAACAGATGTTAAAATTGGGAGAATATTAAGTCCGGTGGCGAGACTTTCCATCAGTAAGCTGACTGTAGATATTCCTATTGGAAGAAGCGGTGCCCCTCTTCTTTTTTGGTTTTCATATGAAGCGAAATTTATGGATAAGCAATCAGGACAAAAACAAATACCTTAGCCAATTACAAGTCCTTCAATTTTAACATCCAAGTACCTCGACGCTATGCTGTCTTTAAATAACAAGAATTTCATTGACCGCGTCAAATTTATATTCCCCCCCCCCCACACCCACCCACACCCACCCACTCCAAGCTTGACATCAAGTACACTACATTTTCCTCTACCACAGTCATTTTCCTTAATCTTTACACAGCATAATCGAAAGAGACCTCTTAAAACTCCGCTTCAATAAGTGTGACTATTTGATTTTCCGAATGTGATCTTTCCCTTTCTTGAGAGTAACATCATGGCTTTTCTACCGTTGCTGTTGATTCAGTAGGTATTCAAGAGTTTGTTGCAAATAGCATAACTTCAAAACTTCATGACTTCGTCATGATATCATAGATGTAGACTGCTGACGGACAGAGTTATAACACAGGTTGTTCACAGATGGAGCTTAATGAAGACTATTGACAAGTTTTACTGGTCGTCATATGATCTAATTGGGAAATATGCAGTTTTTGTGTGATATGAAGGTCGATGTTGTTCACTATGCTCCTTAGTGTGTTTTTTTTTTTTTTTTGTCATTACCAATTTCTCGCTTTGTGGACGTAACATATTTGACCTATATGCAATACAGAAGACACCTTGTCTCATTTATATTGTATTTTTCAAGGGTTTTCATGCCTATTTTTTTTCGAACAATTTTCTTTTTACGAATAAATATATATTTTTCGAACAAATATATTTTTTTTATTGAACATATTTATTTTTATTTAATATTTTTATTTAACATACATATTTTTTTATTTCAATTTTTTTTATTGAACATGTATTTTTGCACATATATTTACAATTATTGAACACAAGTATAAAATATTGCGCACATTTTTGCAAATATTGAATACAAATATAAAATTTTGCACATATATTTACAATTATTGAATACAAATATAAATTTATTTAAGACAACTTCGTCAGAACTGCAGATTATCTTTCGAAAATTGAATGGTACAATTCCATTGTGAATGAGTTAGCAGTGACAATGTCTGAAGTTTATTGCAAGATTTTCGACCCAGCAAAATACTAAGGACTTTTCTCATTTCTTGTCATAACATCATGACGTCATTTAGAACTATTTCTTACATCACAAAACAGCAAAATGAAGCAGGTTTAATCAATTATGGTTGATTAAATGTTAAAGTAAAAGATTATAAGATAAGTTACACACACGTTTGAGGTGGGGAAAGGGTTATCATGTAGCACCTGATTAGTAATATGGTAAAATATAAAGGTGTAACAATGCTAATATATATATTCACAATCTATAACATTAATCTTCCTCTGTCACTAACTTAACAGTCCACGTATCCGCCATAGTTATGCCGTCAACTGTTTTTTTCCTGATGTTATTTAAAGTTTCTTGACATATTTCTATCACTTTGATACCTGCTGTGATGTAGCAGCTCGAAGCTTCGCCTTCTCACATACTCTACAGTATCTGTTTTTATTACGAAGTTGCGTCTTACAGAATTCGTCGACTGGGAACAGACGAAGGCAGCCGATACATTTGGTGGAAGCATCGGGAAATTCAAAGGAATCATCCTCTGGAACGATATCTAGTGGCAGGAATGCATTCATCTCAAATATTCCATATGCTCTCGTTGGCAAGCAACGAAAAATATCAGCGTAACGACGTGACGCAACGCGAAGACGAGGCATATGTCTTCCGTCGCCTTTCAGCTTCTTATACAAGATGAACAACCCTGATGTGTCAACACAGCAGTAATTCTTCAAGTTTTGGGAAAATGGTCTTGTTTTCCACACATGACTGTCACCTACCACCTGTCTGAGACATCTTTTTTTAGCTTCAATCATTGCTTGGTCTTTTACGTATACTTCGATGCATCGAAGGACTCCGTTCATCAATTGCACCTCGTCAGTCCTTGAGGACCGTCTGGACCCTTCTTCCCGTTCTGGTGTTCTTCGGTTCCTATGCATGACTTCCAGCAGTTGAAGATCCAGCACGCCAGATAGTTCAACATTTAACTGATGACGGAGATTATCAGCATCACGTCGGCAATCAAACATGAGTTTGTCCTTTGCTTTGTCTTCAAGTATAGCGCGAAGACCATCGTCAAAAACTTGTTTGCCCAATTTAAGAACGTCGAAAATGAAAGCTTTGGTTGAAGTAGCAACAGTGATGACGGTCAATTCACCCGATCTTCCTCCCCCTAACTTGAATCCCTTGCAATCGACCGCCAATAACTCATGCCTCCTTATTTCTGTTAGTGCGCTGGCTACATCTGTCAGGTCCTCAACAACAACGTAGTTGTAATCTTGTGGTTTGCGAGCCATTTGTGAGCTAAAAACAAATGAAAAGGTTTGAAAATTATATGTTTTCTCCTCAGCTTCTTCAGTAATGAGGCGCCATACCATTGTGGCTGCCCTTATTTCATTAATGAACAATCCTGATCCAATTGGTCAAACGTTTCATTGTTATGAAAAGTGTAAATTGCGAAGAATGCCTGTTTTAATTCACTCAGTCACGGTATTTATAACTAGGGCTTTCTAAATTTGGATTGTGTTTACAATTAAAATTATTTCTGTGACTCGATGTGTCATAAATCATTGGCACTGTAAATATTGCAGCAGAGGAAGGACAAGCTAGAGACAATAATGATTTCTTCAAATTTGTCGCTTTATATTACTGCGCAATTTAACATTATCTCACCTATTTAATTCTGTAATTTTTGTTGGACTGATAAAATACAATTCATCTTTACTTCTTGCTTTAGTAAACAACACTTGTCGGAATAAAATATCTCTGGCAACTGCTTTACTAAAGCAGTTGTTTTGTCACGCATTCCCATGGCCCATATCAGCCATTTCGGCAAACGCCTGTTGTATGGAGGTAGATAACGGTCGGTAAGTCCCTCTCAGATATTTAAATCTAGAGGATATAAACTGGCTGAGACAACGGCTACTTAGACTGATGATGATGTGTGTACACGTTTGCATGTACTATCTTTTTATATTGTTTTGTTAACATGGCTAGTCAATGTAAGCGCATCTTTAGCTCACCATGATGATCACTGGAGCTATCATGTTGTACTCATGTCATTCGGAATCACGGTAGTTTAGTGGTTGGACGCCGGACTCGTGACCGAAGGGTTGCGGGTACGAGTCACGGCACGGCACTGTATTGTATCTCTGAGTAATCTAATTTACTTTGCCTGTTCAAGTCTATTCAGCTGTATGTACATGAGGTGAAAAACTATGGATCCTCATCCAATTAGATTAACAGATTTTTAAGAACAAATTGTATAGATGCTCAACATATATACAACGAGTACCGTATAATTTAATGGTAAATATTTCATTTAACTTAAAATAGAAACATTTCTTGCTATTGCAAGTTTGCACATTATGATACACATGTTTAAAGTAAGTTTATAGTAATGTTGTTGAGGAGTAGAAATTATATTTTATGGAAGGTTTATTGGTGAGATACTAATTTGATAATTTAGTGTATATTAATGTGTATAAACTGTAGCTTAGATATACATCCCAGATTGTTTGTTTGTTTGTTTGTTTGTTTAGACTGCACTGTTTGTTTAATATACGCCATCAACTCATTTATCAACAATGTTCATTGCAAAGTGTCAAGGACGCGAGCACTGAACAAATTTATCACTGAAGAAGACTAGCACAATAACCCTTTACCGGATACATTTCGCAGTGAAGAAAACTTAGTACTATCTGATCGGGATTTCCCGTAAAAATCAATGTGGATTAAAATAAGGCGTTCAATGACACGAGCCAATGTTTGATTCGATGGTCTGTCAATGTTAAATTAGTATCGTTTGTGCCAAACCCTTACATGTTTACTCTATGTTCTGAATACGGATGCTTTTTCGCCGGCATGACAGTTTAAAATCGTTTAGGAACCTATCGAATGCATCTCAAAATAGACGCTGTTTTATACGCATCACTTGTTTTACAACAAAACAGCAAATCAACATTATCTTGTATATGCCATCATTCATGATGGATATCTCACCTCAAGCTATAAAATGTATTACGCATTTGATATTGGAAACAACACACGCGTGAAATTATATCTAATAAACTTGAATTACTTCCCACTGAAAGGTAAACTTTGTTACTAAACGTTTGTTTCCAGATTGGTAAGTACAGATTCGTATAGCACAACCATTGATTGTTTATGTATGGCGTTCCGATGACTAGTACGATGTGTCATCCATACCAGACGAATGACCGGTAAAGCGTGAATACACAATAGGTGTAAAATATTTGCAATATAATCGCTGTCGATTCGGATACGCTATATAAGCGTGTGCACACTTCTTTGTTATACTTGCACAACATGACGATCGATTCGACTACCGTTTGTTAAATATATATTATCGAAGTTGTGCGAGAGTCCATGAGCCCCTCATCTCGTTTCAGATATTGATCTTATAGCCTAATACCTTCACAGTTCCGTCATTTTTCTCCTTATTTATTCCTCACATGTGAATTTGATGTTATTCGTGGACTCAATGGTATTGATATCGGTGCATAAAACCTTCTGTGACCCTTGACCTTTGACGGTTCGGTATTATGCATCGTCAACGATATGAAATCGGGAAAAACGCGAGATGAACCGACAGAATACAGATTCCACATTATCATAAAAGATGCATAAATATTTGCTTTTCTTGACATTCGCCGCTGATTTGAAACGTCGTTGCCAAAAAAAAAACTGAGTCATAAGTACACGTATATACAATGTACGATTTCACCTTCCGGTTTTTTTTTCCAAAGTGTATGATATTTTTTTTTATGATAGTTTTCCTAACTTTCGTTTTCAATCCATTTTGATGAAATTCGACACAAAATATCTAAATAACATGTAGACAAACATACTTATAAAAACATAACTAATAATGGTTCTGAGTAGGTCTCAAACTGTTTGCAAAAATATATAAAACAGTAGCAAAAAATTGAAATCAGGAAAACTTTTTGAAAAGGAGTTTAAAGGAATCTATAGTGGTAAAATGACTTACTGTAAAAGAATTTTGGCAGTTTACTGCAGTGCCAACATGGTGCAATAATTTAATCTTGCTTATAACAAGCATTTTCATTGGCTTAAAAATTATGTTATCAACCCATAACGTCGCCGTTTGTAACGTAGCTTTTGATTGGCTGATACATCAGCGCAATAATTTCGAAGAGAAAAGAGTCCATCAATAAAAATGGATTGCCACTGGGATTGTGTAAAGTAGATTAAATTATAAGGATTAACTTGAATATATTTTTCATGTTATGGAGCTATAACACAAAAAACTGGAGTGTACTCTCATCATAAACCGCTTCCCGGTTTATTTAGAGTACACTCCGTTTTCGTGTGCTATCTCCATAACGTGAAAAATATATTCAAGTTAACCCTTCAATAGCGATATTTATGGTTTACAGAGGGGGGAAAAACACACTGTACTTTAAATCCAACCGATGAAGCTTTGAGAGAACGCATTGATTTACTAGGAGTATTCTAAATTAACATACCTGTTCGTCGGTTGTTATACTCTGCCAGCTCTAGATAGTAAATGCGACTACTGTAAATTATGCAGTGACAATTGTTCTCTGACGTCAGCAATCTACATTGTACCTCAGCTTTCAGGAATTCCTCATATCTTAAAATAGACGATTCGCTTTACACCAAAGCTTACTTTCACTTTCAGTTGTAGATACCTGATCTACTAAGAGTTGTGTCCCTTTTCACTTATGAAGAAACTTGGTGAAACGTAAACCCTTTTCAGTCCTTTATTTTCTATAGACACCGTGTACGTGTTTCTATAATCACGGATTTGACATTTTTTTTGAACCAATATAAAAATTAGCTAAAGAATATAAAATCACCCTTGAATTAATGATATTTTTGCTTTAATTTTTGTAGATTCTGTTTTCTTGATAAGACTTAATTAAAAATAATGCTGAGATTATTTCATATGATGATAAAAAGCCAAAATAGACAGTAAAGTACGAAATGGACTAAAATCATTTTCTTTACACAAGTATCTTAATACCAACATTCCGTATTTATAAACATCTACCAAAATAAACATTTGGTAATTTTAAAAACGTTGAAATTGGCATTTAATTAAACAAGGAAGTTTTAGATGTAGATATATATAATTAAAAAGATTAAATGTCAATGGGAAGTAGGTAAGTATAGAAATAATAAGATATAACGATCGACTTGAAAATTAGCAGGTTCATCCTTTACGAGGTTTTGCATGTTATATTTAAAAGGAAAACGTCATGACGTCACCATCACATGTCATCAAACTACAATATCAACGAGACATCACAATGTACAAAAAAATACTGGAGCACCTAGCGCAAACTTTTCTTCTGCCCTGTTGGAACTAAGTTTTAATATCTGATGAATTATCCTCTTTCCATTCTCTTAAAAGGGAGTCGGTTGAATGAAATCGATATTAAAAATGCATTAAATCGATCACCGGCACATTCATGAATATGTTTACTTACATGTAAATTTCGTAATGATTAAGTTTTAGTTTGTTGTCTATCAACAAAATTATTGCATACATTACGTTTTTATTTAAAATCAAATAAGCAATCAAAGTAAATTTTAAACCATTCTTGAATATGCCAGAATTACATTCGATAATCATAGGACATATATCACACATTAGTGTCCTACGCTTGGATACTTCTGGTGTTATACAGGAATTATTAAAATAAAACTTAGATAATTATGTGCCTTTGTAGCCTTAAAATACAGATCAATTGTAATCGTATTACTAATCGTTGATCTAAAACATCTGAGAAAGGTAAAGACGTCTCACTACACGCCATCCCGCTATAACAAACAAATTGAAAGGTGTAAAGATTTCAATAAGATTTAAAACTAATTTCAATCCTATCAAGAGGCCATATAAAAAAACAAACATAAAGGAATGTGACAGTCACATCAATATTAGCATAGATAAATAATTTATAAAACATAATACATGGCTTAAATTATGATAGAATAGAGAAAGTAAATACTACTCAGATAATATATTTCTACAAAATAACGATTGTATATGTGTCTTAAAGGTATGATACTTATTTAAAACTGCAACGCACCCATATTTAAAACCTACACATACATGTATCGTAAAAAGCTTAATATTGAACAATATCATTTCATAATTTACTACACATAATTGTAACTTTATCACAGTAGATGCGTGGGAAGGCAACCACAATCGTTTTAATAGAATATCTAGGTATCGTTTTGTTAGCAAAGTCATAATCAATTAACAACTTTATTAAAGTACCAGTTGCTAAGTGACTTTATATGATTTACTCATAATTTAAAACAGTTCATTATATGCATAGACGACGATTCGCAACTATGTACTTGATTGCTGTGGTGAAGTTGTCAACTACTTTGTACCATTGTATCTTTGTATCGGTCTTTTTTAGGATCATATGATATATTTTAAAATATTTCCCAACAGAACAATCTGGACAGTTCACTGTATGTAAGTCGCCTACATCGTCACTACCAATCATCATCACCGTAGTCGTCACCAAAATTGTCACTATAGTTATCACTATACTGAAGACCATAGTAGCCATTGGTCTGCCATTCTTCGTCAGATGAGTAGTAGAGTGGGGGTGAATGGTTGAACTCGTCTCGTGCCCAGTTATCTTCCCTATTTTTCTGTACGTCGGCTTGTAGCTTCACCTTCTTACACACTCGACACTTTTGTTGTCCCTTGCGAAGTTGTGTCTTGCTGAATTCGTGTCTCGGAAACAGCCGATTACAGCCAACGCATTTGGTCGAAGCAAATGGAAAACTCATAGATCCTTCATCTGGAATAATATATAATGGAAGGAGAGCATGATTCTCGAACATTCCGTTTGTTCTTACAGGCATGGAACGGAAGTAATCAGCGTATCGCTCTGACGCGACTCGAAGACGCGGTAAGGCATCATCATTATCACCTTTCAGTTTCTCAAACAGACTAAACAACCCGGATGTATCAACATTGCAGTAACTCTTCAACGAGTCAGATAAAGGTCTGGTCTGCCATACATTCTCGTCATCTTGTAATAATCTTACGCCTCTCTTCTTTTCATCAATCATTTTCTTATCATCAATATAGAGCTCTACGCACCGCAGGAATCCATAAACACTTTCTACCTCATCGGTTTGTGTGCTTCCAAGAGACCCGGATGTAGCAGACGCTGAGGCAGATGGTGACTTCGTCCTGTGCATCACTTCTAGAAGTTGCAGATCCAACACCCCAGACAGACGAACTTTAAACTGATGCTGTAGACTATCGGCATCACCTCGACAGTCGAACATGAGCTTCTTCTTGGTTTTATCTTCAAGAATATCACGAAGGCCATCATCAAAAACCTGCTTTCCCAATTTCAGAATGTCAAAGATGTAAGACTTGATTGGGGTAGCTACTGTAAGAACAGTCAAGTCTCCAGCCCTGCCTAGATTTATCCCCTCGCAGTCTATTGCCAATAAAGCGTGGCTCCTTATTTCAGTAAGCGCATCAGCAACATCTGCCAGCTCTTCCACAACTGTGTATTCGTCATCTGGTGTCTTGCACGCCATTTTTTAACTGTAATATATAAAATCAATCACAAATATAGCATTATGTTTGTAATAAAGTTAGAACAGTTATGCCTAAACTTCACCAATGAGACCGTGCTAGTGATTAAGAAGGCTTACAACACATTATAAATCTGATAATGTAGAGTTTATATCTATCGTAAATCATTAGTGCGAGCCTTGTATAATTCAGCATGAAAAAAATAAAAATGTTGTGTCTATTTTGTTAATTCAGCTCAAAGACCTATAAGGTTTCATGCTTTCATTTCCCCCTATTTAGTGAAGGGAAGGAGGGGGTATATAGCAATGACTTTGTCAGTTAGTTCGTCCGTGTGCGCGACCGTCAATAGTAAAAAGCTCGTGTACAAAATATTCATGAATCTTTAAACCAATTTAGCTCATATTTACATCATACTATGGTCATCAATCGAGTATCGGTCATAGGCAAAAGATCAGAGGTCACGGACAAAGGTCTCACTTTACCATTTTTTAAGTAAAAAGCTTATCACGAGATATCTAAACAACCCATTCAACCAATTTAGTTTATATCTACACTACAGTATGGTAACATCTAGTTCTATACCTGATTAGATTTTGGTGGCCATCGGTAAAGGGTAAAAGGTCAAAGGCAAAGTGTCTGTCCATGGTAGAAAGATTTTGTAGAAGATGTCTAATGAGCCCCAAAACACATTCAGCTTATGTTTACACCATAGCATGGACGTTTCGAGTTCTACACATGGTTAGATTTTAGTTGTCATCGGTCAAATGTGAGCGATTAAAGGTCAAGCGCAAAGGTCATACTTGGCCACCTTTTAAGTTAAAAGGCTGGTGTACACAAACGAATCCACTCATTACAAACCATGTCTCGTTCTGATGTACACTACACTATGCAACGATACAATCAAGTAAAAAGAACTACGTGTATCTTCATAAAACTCTTGATATCTTTTTAATGTGGGGTAGAATCTTTTAACAGCTGTAAACTCTAAAATACGAACATCTTACAGATTTTTAATGTCAATTGCTAGCTCAGAAATGCTCTGTAGCACTATGATATCTTTGTGTTGAATTATTCACATTCTGACTATTTTTTTCTGATTTATTCTTTTAATATATTGTACTCAAATATAAGAATAAACATTATGTATATTTTACCTGAATGCCTATGCTCTGTTTCTAGTACTTCTGCGAACTGCACACTACTTTCGGTTTCGAAATGTGAATTTTCATAAATAGAAGTAGGTTTACCGGTTATGACGTAATTGTGTAATCATTCTTCATGGAACACGGCCTGCTTTCGGTTTTTGTTTAAAAAGCGGTTTAAGAGGCACAATTACATCACATGATAAAACATGAAGTTTTGTAAGTTGAGGTACATAATAATGTTCTATTTCAGGAGAATTATTACAGTTTTTTTTGTGTCAGTTGTCCTGAGATGTGGTTGAACTAAATATCGTGCACATACCCATGTCCAAGTACTGACATGTTTAAAGTGTTAACTCATAAACAAACAGAAACCACATTCAAATGAGAGCGCTAATATGAAATGTGGGGCGTTTCCTAGTCTTAACACAGCTTCAATTATTTATCTTTTACCTACCTTGTCAGTCCGCGTGTCCGCCTCAAAGTCACAAATATCACAAGAGGTCTTTGTCGCGAGCATGCGCTCTACTTCAGCCCAACTTCCTGATGTGTGTTTTCATTTACATACACAGGGTCGCAAAGGTAGTTTAAATATCGATCGGTGAAACGGTAGCTATCATGTATTTCGTTATCTCTCCCCTGATTATGTATACGTGTATGCTATGATTTACTTGTATTATTGTTGCGCCTATGAGTCGTATGGCTCTTGGCTAATAAAGAATCTAAAGAATGTATGTTAACTACTAGAAATTAGGGTTGGACTGCCGTTCTGACTTAGCTGGACCACGTCAGTTTCAATAAATGCGGTTAAGACGGTTAAGTAAGGAAAGTGCGATCTATCAAAGGGCTTATATATTGTCCGGTATTGGATCTGTTATTTTTCCACTGCATGTGAACAATTGCGTCTTCTAAAACAAAAGATTGGAGATATTCGATCACAAATATATAAATAAATGGAAAATAACGGAGATATTTGGGCCGTTGTCGTTTAAACGGTTCAACAGGTTGGACCACAGTTGTTCGTTCATCAAATGGCACAGTGGCCTGTTAGCTAATTACGTGAATCTGTTATTTACTCATGCCTGTGTGCTAACGACAAAATATACATTATCGCAGCCATGATAGAAGTATATATTTCGTGCAATGATATCTGTAAAATGTGATTATATTGAAGAGAAGGTGAAGAAAGGGGCATTGAGCATAATTTTGCCTTCATCAACATATAAATGCAATAGAATGAGTATTTATGTTTCAGATCAGATGGCTGTCAGATGCTTTTAGTTCTTTTTCTTTTCGTCTTAGACCTTGGACCGTATTCAAAAATATTCTCATGCTCAAAACTCTTTGAGTTTGTGTTTCAGCCCGGTTTTTTTATTCCTATGATTAAGTTATGATTATAAACATTGTATCAGTGATTTTGAAGACATTTTGACAGACTTTTAGCCGAGTACCTTTTCAATGTTTAGACTTGGCTTTTTGACCGTGTCACGTGATATAGACTTCTATGTACATGTAGGTTTTAAGAAAGTTGGCTAGAGCACAGAGTCCAAGCTTTTAAACACGATAATGGTTTCGTGGATACCAAACCGGGTAAAACAAAACCTTGAGACGAAATGGCGACACGGACAGGAGTATTATCCCCAAGAATTGGTTTTCATACGACAGAAGAAACATGCAAGTATCAAGCAGATTCATAACTGCATTCTGTGAAGAAGTAAAGCTCTATGATTCTGACAAGCTTGCAGGCAACTTAGCATCAAACGGCATTTTGTTAAGAGTTTTTAAATCCATACTTCTGTAACGGCTAAGGTATATGAGGGGAAGATACTGACTTAGCGGTATAACCCGGGGACCCATGGCCACTCACTTCAGTTCAGCAACGTCGAGCGTGGTCAGTAGTTGGATGGTTGAACGCCCACATGTTACACTTCTGAACAGGACTATAGAAAAAATAATATCGCCTGTCAGTTTTTTTGGTTCGGTTTTATATAGGTAAATCGTACACGCGTACCGCTACCTGGGAGCGCGTAATACATACTATTTGTCTGCAGACCTGGTCGGTCGGGGCTAGAACCTATCCCGCTGAGCCAGATTCCCGCGAAATTTATTATTGGAACTCTTCTGTATATATACGTAGTTGACGCGGTAAATTTTGAGTCGGAGAAAGGGATCCATAACAACAGGTCTGGCAGTTCCGTGCATCATGTTCAACTCTCTGATTCAGCTGAATAATGCAATTATATGTATTAAATTAATTAATTTAATTTAATTACAATTATATGTATTAAATTAATTTAATAATTTATTATTGGAACTCTTCTGTATATACGTAGTTGACACGGTAAATTTTGAGTCCATAGCAACAGGTCTGGCAATCATGTTCAACTCTCTGATTCAGCTGAATAATGCAATCAGAGAGTTTGAATTAAATTACAATTTCAAGTTTGTTGTTTTGAAGAAGGAAAAGGGATTTGCCGACGACGAAAATACTTCGATAAGTAAGTAAATATACATTATTTTATAATACTTATTCTTAGTACTGTAGGCTTACAAATAAAGTATTCTATTCTAATTCCGTGGTATGATACTGGAAGATTAACAATGATCAGGCTGCGAATCTACCAATAAACTATACACTGACCAACGTTATAAATTACTGCTCAAAAAATTGTTGAAGTTTGATAGGACGGGATGTGTTTTTGTTTGTTTTTATTTACCATTATTTTTATATAGATCTGTATCCTATGTGTATATGAAACGAACGCCAATAGTTTACCCAGACTCGAATGTAAGCAGCTGCCACCTTACTTAATCTGTTAATGTAGTAAAAGTATTAAAGGCCTAGATCTAATGTGCAGCTACTTGTGAATCCTTAATTAATCTAGTTTGTTTATAATTATTTATTTCAGTAAACAGTATAGACGTATCAACACGTAATTTCTTAAGCGGCCTCAAAACGGGTGGTAGGTAAATCTTGTACGCCGCTCCCGCTCCCGTCCCAAAACCCCGTACAAGGCATATAGAGATATTTTAATGTCCCATTAACGCGATCGCTTATATCTTTTTTTTTATAAAATTATACAATAGTTTCAAACATTATTTTCTAAATGTGAGTTACAAAAATGTCTATTTATCATCTCATAATTTAGAAATCGACGATAATGGGTATTTTCACATATTATTAGATATTGAGTCAAAATTAACATGTTATTTTCAGATATATGAAACAAAATACCTTACTGTTTATAATTATGTATGTTTCATTGAAATAAGCGAACTATTTCGCATAAAATTCTGACTATGTTGTGATCGCGGGTGTTTTGTTTACTCCCGTACCCGTGCTAATTAGGGGACATCACTTCTTCAATCTATGTCGTTATCGAGAATTCATGAACATCATGATGATTGGTAATTATTAGAAAAAATGGTAATTTTTATAATAACTTTAAAAAATGGTTTTATGATTTAAATAATTGTGTTCTTTTTTCAAAAGGAATTTTAATTTACTCACTAAACATTTTAACTTTTCATAGGATACACATACAAATACATTAAAAAATACCAAAAATACTTCTGACTTTTATGGCTGTTTTATGAACACTTACCACACTTCCAAATAAAATTATCCCTAGAAAAATGTAAATCTGACAGATCACTTACACATCTATTATGAAACAATCTGTCACAGCCAGCATCACAAGTAACCATATCATCAAATACATTTGAGATGTTACACCCATCTGCTTCGCAATCCATAACAAGAGGCCCAATGGGCCTGAATTGCTCACCTGTTATTAATCTCACACTTGTAATCTTAAAAGTGGACTAAAATACAGCTACAGGCAGAATATCAGTGTTTGATTCATAAGAACCAATAAAAAGATTTAAATAAACATATGACGCGTGTGAGCTTAAATGTCGAACAAGGACATAAGGTTGAACAGAGTTTAAAGTCTTCCAACCCAGCATGATTTTGGCAAAATATCATAACCCTGGACCTATTGGTTAAACAGAACAAGTCATTTAAAGATTAAAACATATATTGACCACTGTGACCTTGAATATGGTCGAAGGTCATTCATTTTCAAAATTGATAGCCCTTCATTCCAGCCTGTTAATGACCAAATATCACCACCCTTGGCCTTTGGCTAATTTAGAAGAAGTCGTTTAAAGGTTTTAAACATATAAGACCCCTGTGACCTTGAATATATGTAAAGGTCATTCATTTGAACAAACTTGATAGCCCTTTATCCCAGCATATTACTGACCAAATATCATTAGCCTAGGCCTCTTGGTTATTCAGAAGAATTTGTATAAAAGTTTTAAACATTTTTGACCCCAGTGACCTTGAATATAAGTAAAGATCATTCATTTGAATAAACTTGGTTGCCCTTTATCCAAGCATGCTACTGGCCAAATATCATCATCCTAGGACTTTCGGTTATTGAGAAGAAGTTGTTTAAAGGTTTTAAACATATTTGACCCCTGTGACCTTGAAAATAAGTAAAGGTCATTCATTTGAACAAACTTGGTAGCCCTTCATCCTGGCATGTTACTGGCCAAATATCATTATCATAAGCTTCTTAGTTATTCAGAAGAAGTTGTTTAAAGATTTGTTAAGACAATTGACCCCTGTGACCTTGAAAATGGACAAAGGTCATTCATTTGAAAAAACTTGGAAGCCCTTAATCACAGCATGCTACTGGCCAAATATCGTAACCCTATGTCTCTTAGTTATTCAAAAGAAGTTGGTTAAAGGTTTTTAACATATTTGACCCCTGTGACCTTGGATATAAGTCAAGGTCATTCAGTTGAACAAACTAAGTAGCCATTCATCCCAGCATGCTACTGGCCAAATACCTAAACCCTAGACCTCTGAGTTATTCAGAAGAAGTTGTTTAAAGGGTTTTAACATATTTGACCCCTGTGACCTTGAAAATAAGTCAAGGTCATTCATTCGAACAAACTTGGTAGCCCTTTATGACAGCATGCTACTGGCCAAATAGCATCCTCCTAGGCCTTTTGGGTATTGAGAAGAGGTTGTTTAAAGATTTTTTTTTACATATTTGTCCCCTGTGTCCTTGAATATAAGTCAAGGTCATTCATTTGAACAAACTTGGTAGCCCTTCATTCTAGCATGTTACTGGCCAAATATCATTAGCCTAGGCCTCTTAGTTATTCAGAAGAAGTTGTATTAAGATTTTTTAAGACAATTGACCCATGTGACCTTGAAAATGGACGAAGGTCATTCATTTGAAAAAACTGGGTAGCCCTTTATTCCAGCATGCTACTAGCCAAAAATCATCACTCTGGGCATTTTGGCTCTTCAGAAGAAGTTGGTTAAAGTTTTTAACATATTTGACCCCTGTGACCTTGAAAATAGGTGAAGGTCATTTATTTGAACAAACTTGGTAGCCCTTTATCCTAGTTTGCTTCTGGCCAAATATCATCACCCTAGGCCTTTTGGTTATTAAGAAGTTGTTAAAAGTAAAATATTGACGACGGACGCCGGACGACGGACGGACGACAGACGCTGCACCATGGCATATCTTTTGCCTATGCCTACTCTTTTTTTCCTAGGAAATTTAGTAAATATTCCATTGGAAATACATTCCACAAGATGTTGTCTCATGCAAGTGGTGTCAAACTCTA